ACACTTCTGCATTCCGATTGGTTGCCGGCCGCCGGTTGCCGCCAAACCGCGTCATTGCTTATTACCATAAAGTTGAGCTGACTTCAACTCTCCGCGCCGCCCTCGCCGCCGGCTCTCATTGAAAATGAATGACTTCCGGCCACTTTGACGCTCTCGCCGGCGGCGGTGTGAACGCACAGTTACTCTCTCTAATGTTGTTCCAAACCTGTATTCATTTCTTTCTTGTGCTGAACACAAAAGAAGATATTTGGGAAAATGTGGGAACCTTACAGTTGCTGGTCCCCATTGACCCCGATATAAGAAGAAAACATACACTGGAAGTCAGTGGGGACCAGCAACTGTTGGACACCCACATTTTTCTAAATAACTTTTATTTTCAACACTAGAAAGAAACTTATTCGAGTTAAAACAACTTGAGAGAGTAAATTGACAATTTTCATTTTTGGGGGAACTATTCCTTTAATGTTAATAAAACAACAAAAAACACAGAGAAAATCACTCACTGACTGAGAACTTTAATAGTAGCTTTAATAAGAATCAATGTATAATGTAGTGTTTTATTTTTATATTTGTTCATTTAATTTCTTTCTTGAATGCTGTTAAACACAGCTGTAGCTGAAAAATAAATCACTGTTTATTTAATTTGTGTATTATGTTGTGTATATTTATAGATTTTGTATAAATGCTTTTTTAAATTTATTTTTTATGTGATGACCAACACATTTTTTGTTCATCCTTCAAAGATTGTCCTAAAACAAAAAAATTTAAGATGTTGGATAACTCTTATTTAAACACTTATTTAAATAAAAAAATACCATTGTAAACAGTAGGATGTTTATTGGCTATGTTCACACCTTAGTATACATTTTTTCACTCCTTTTGTTTTTTTAATTAATATTAAGACATTATGAATGATAATAATAACAAAAGTTAATTTCATCTACACCCTAAATTAAGCTTAGTGATTTATTGTCAGCCACAGTGCTACCAGAATTTTTTCTTTTTCTTTTTGTAGGTGATGCTGCCCTCAAATTTGAGTCTGGAGCCCTGTGAACTTAAAATAAAACTGCATATCGTAATATCTGTACGTTAAGTCTCTTTATTATTAAAGAATTTGTCAGTATTACAGTTATTTTGGGAAAATTTTGAATAATTGCATTGCAAGCTGATTTAAGGTGTGCCCCTAAATTTTCTGCTTGTGCTCCTAAAATTTTCAGTCAGGGGCAACAGCGCTCCTAGTAAAAAAAGTTAGTCTGGAGCTCTGGTATCAGATGTAATCCACTCTGTCTGTGTCTGCAAAGGTGTGTGTGCAAAATCTAACAATATGTAATGTGTATCTTTCTATCTTTTTTTTAAAACAAAGAAAATAGTCACAAAGATTATCTTCGCCATTTTGGCCTAAATGTCTGCCTAACTCATTCCTGTAAACCTATTCAAAATAGGGCTGCACAATTGGCCCCAAAAGTTTTTGCTTGTAAATGAATGATTAATTAATTATTTTATGATTATTAATAATCATATTATTGTTGCTAAATAAAAATATTACTATAGCAATAACACTTGCATTTAAAAATAACAATATAGTATTCAAGAATAAATATAATTATAAAATATTATTTTATTATAAATTATCATATTATGATAAAAAAATTTAAAATTTCTTAATTTTTGCCACGGGGGAAACAAAACTGAGTCCATGTATTTAACATGAGCCTCTAATAGTTATGGTCTTTCATGAGCATCTGCCACGTCTGAACGAAAGACTCGGAAGGTAAAGTAATTATTTATGTTCCCTGTAAATTATTATTGACTGCATTATAATGATTTCTTAATTCAGAATATGAACAGGTTTGCGTTGGTGGATGTGTTCGGGAGTATGAGACTCAGAGTTAACCGTGACCCCGCAAACACATGATCCAGGAGTCGCCAGGGGATGAGCGCTGAGAAGCACTTCATGCTACTTTCTTAGGTAACACTTTACTTGAAGGGGTGTGCATAAGACTGACATGACACATGTCATGAATATGAAGGAGGGTTTATGCATGTTTATAACAACTGTCATTAAGTGTCATTCCCTCAGTTATGACATTTTTAATGCAAATATGACATTGTTTGAGATGTCTGTTATGACAACTTGACATTACCAAGACAACCTGTCATAAACATGACATTGCAGATTAATTATCAAACTTAAGAAAGCACTTAGCTTTATGGGTTAACATTACATTAAACTGTCATGTGGTTGGTTTTGACATTGGCTGTCATGAGGCATTATAACTGTGTCATGAATATTTTTCCCTGTAGTTGAGGTCAAGAAATGTTATAATGCCTCATGACAGCCAATGTTGTTAACACCAACCACTGACAGTTTAATGTAATGTTAACCCATAAAGCTAAGTGCTTTCCTAAGTTTGATAATTAATCTGCTATGTCACGTTTATGACATATTTATGACAGGTTATGATGTGTTGGTTTATGTCAAGTTGTCATAACAAAGACATCTCAATTATGACATTTTTAATGCAAATATGACATTGTTTGAGTGAATGACACTTAATGACAGTTGTCATAAACATCCTTCATATTCATGACATGTGTCATGTCAGTCTTATGAACACCCCTTCAAGTAAAGTGTTACCTTTTCTTATGTTGTTTATTGGCAATTTACATTCTTAGATCACATCACCGCCTAGTGGGTGGTTTTGTAATCTTTCTAATCTCATCTTTTAAGCTTTCTTTAATGTGTTTGTATTACTGTGGACAAGAATGATTTTGTTTGTTTGATGTATATGATTAAAAAAGTAAGATGAATGAACTAAGAGAGTGAGTGGCTATGACTAGATACCCTGAAAGCCTCATAAAACCGGAAGTCAAGCCGAGGTTCTCTAAACTTACCCGGGTGTGTCACATTACCTGCTTTCTGGAGGACATTAAGGTTCAACAAAACATTTCTACATAAAAGTCAGATAAATAAATAAAAACCTCCATATATATATATATATATATGCCTCATATATAATATAACATTCTCCCTAATATGGACAAAGGCCAGCTCTGAGATAAACACTTTGATTAAACATGAAGAAAAGAAAAGCATGACTGCGACAATATATGGTTTATCTGTGTTCTTCAAGCCTTCTTGGGTAACTTCATAATTATTAAGTATATTTATAAATTAAAGCTAATCAACTTAGCCTTAATCACTGTACTGAATACTATCAAATCTGTGATAACACATCAGCTCACAAAAGGACATTTTAAACACTCGACTGACGACATGAAGCGAGTAAAAACATTAAACATTGGCTTTTGTTGGACAACAGGTTTATACCCAAACATGAAGTTTTGGAGGATGTTTGACGCATGTTTTTTCAAATGCACATTATAAGTGACTCAAACTCGCAGTGTTTTTAGACGCAGCAGCAGCATTTACTACCGACACACTGCAGATCTCTACTCACGTGAAAACACAGCCTTAAGAAAACACAGCCTTTCGCTTGTGCACTCTTCAAAAAAATCATATAGGTGTGCAACAAACTTAGGCATGTCAGATTCCTTACAAAAAAATATTAAGGCTTATTTGTGTGCCAGTTCCTATATCAGCCATGCGAGATGTGATATGGCACTGAACATGAACAGATCATCCCTGTGTAGACAACTAACCAACAACTGTACCTGCAAATATACCTCCAGAACTGAGGAAACATGAACACCTGACTGCACCAGACACACAACACTCAGCACTATCACTCACGCAAGCAGAAGATGAACGAATCAGAGAATTAAACAAGAAAAACAGCGTTAGGAGACATGAAGAACATCAGCAAGAGACATGTCATTGTTCCCCGTCTCTCAGACTAGGCCAAGGTAAATGAAACTGAGATTTTACACAGATTTTGATGGGAGAAACGAAGCTTTTCGGAACTTTGAATCAATTGAACCAATTGCTCCGCAAAATGATTCAGTGTTTCGAATCTCTCGAAACGCAACGCGCTGGCGACCCCTGCTGGTCAAAGTGTGTAAATGCAGCAAAAACAAACATCTTTTACAAACCAATTGCTAATATTTAATTTATAGTGTAGTCTACTATAAACAATTAACAAATAATCGAATATCTTCAAATATGATGTATACAAAATAAATGTATTTTTTTTTTTGCTCTCGGCATTTTATTACATTGTAGGGGTTGTTTTATTCATCTTATGGAGAGCTTGGTTAATCAGACCAATAAGACACTTAACTAGAACACTGCCTTTATACAAAAGGTTTAATTAAATGTCTACAAATCCATAAAATTGACCCGAGATCAGGTAAAACCATCATTGGGCACACAGAAATAACGTAAAGCCTCGTTTAGTCAAATCACGTGACTTTGGCAGTTTGATACGCGCTCCGAATCTCGAAGCAAATGATTCGCAAAGGTTTCGACCATCACTAGATTCAGTTCTGCGAGGTCAAAGGTCACAGCACGAATCAGCTAAACGAGCATCAGCAGGTAAAAAAGTAAAACGCTCAGATAAATAGAAACTTATCCCAGGTAAACGTAGACAACTAACGTTACACGGAGCTAAACTAAGCAGTTAAGTCACAAACACTCGTGTAAATGCAATACCACAGATAAACTCACGTAAAAGCTAGTGAATTAACTCAGGTAAACCGAGGCATACACCACTACACACTGTAAATACAACAAGATTCAGGTGTAGGTCGGTAAATGAGGGATAAACCTCATTGATAAACCCCGTCAATTATCGACGTTAAATTAATCTGCCGACAAAACTAATTTACCAACACATAAACAACACACTCAGTTAGGCCTAAGAGCGAAAAGGACAAAAGCATTGAATAAAATGAACATACTGGTACTTTAAATATTACACAAATGCATCTAATGAAAGGATAAAACTCACGCCGCTTGTTCATTTAACGCTAAAACAAACGCATAACATCTGAAGAAACCGCTTCATATAAAAAGCAATGAAATAAAGCGTCTTTCTTACCTTAATTCGGTTTATAAATTAGCGGCGTATGCTGATGCGCGCGTTCACACGTTAAGGGGGGCGATGGCGGGAAACGGCGGCTCTAAATAAACTGCCATGTGGATGATCCAATCAGGGAGCATCGTGACGATTCCCTCAAACGCTATTGAACAATGAGAGATGGGTAAAACAAAGGGACCGGGACCTTCGCGAGCCTTCAGGTGCTGCTGATCAAGGTGTAGCTAATGACGAGCGCGCGCACGTGTCCGAGAGCGTACTATAGCGTGGCCTACTGCGTGCTGTATACTAGCTGTATACTCGGTCCAACATATACCAACATCTTTACATATAATATTTACATTTGTAGTATTGTCATTAATAATGATTCATAACAACTAGCCTATTTCATGAATAGTAATTTAACGATGTCGAGATGATTCAGTGTTCGTGTGCGCGCACGCGATCTTACTGGCTGTTACAAATAAACGATTTGTTTTCTTTTAAAGAGCTAATCGGGATTATTTACTGTTTTCGATTTACTGTTTATTTACTGTTTTCGCAAAAAAAAAAAAAAAGTGTAAATGCAGCATTTCACATAGGCTAGTCTCCTTTTAAAAAACAATTGCAAATGTTTTATTTAAAGTGCAATCTATTTAATATAGGCTAATCTACGAATCATCATATCATTAAATATTAAGTGTCTGTACAATATCTGTTTTTATTTATGTCATTGTTTTCTTTTATTAATTACGTCGTGTTTTGTGAGATTTATGGAGGGCTTGGTTAGCAGATAATTAACTTACTAACTTTTTTATTACACAATGTGCAATATTTATGTGGCATTAAAAAAGGCTGTGTCTGAAATCTCCCCCTATACCCTTAAATGGGCACTATTTGAGGGAACAGCCATTTGTAGTGGTGTCCGAAACCATATCAAGTTCACTCAAAATCCCACAATGCACCGCAGTAACGAGTGTACTGGTACAACCAATGTACAATTAACAGCTGGAGAATACCCATAATGCACTGTGAGAGTCGAGTACCGAATGAATTCCCACGTCTGACCAGAAGATGGCGCCGCAGCCGAATCATCCATCCATTACAAACCGCTGGTCCAATGTGGCTACAGCGTAATATCGGATCCTTTTTAATTGGTTATTAAATAGTTTAATTAAGGTTTGCACATGCTAGTTTCCATAGCAGAGTTCAGGATAAATGTTTTCTTTGCTACATGAGCTGCCGGTTTGTGAAGTTACAAATTATTATTAAACAGCTCAAACTATGCAAAAGTGGCAATTCACTCACTCGTTTTCATCCACCGCTTCAAGTGCACTATATTAGTGGAGTAGTGTAGGGAACCGTGAATGAGGGTATAGGAGGTGATTTAGGACACAGCCAATCAATGTCTACATTATAAAACTGATCCGGCATCAAGTAAAAACACATAGGGCCACAGTAGATGCTGTTCATGGCCCCTATAGCGGCGAACAATGAAACCTGTTCGAAACAGTTATGAACCATGAATAAATTCTCCTCATTCATATGTCACAATATTTTATTTTGTTATGCTTTTGCAGCATAAATAAACCATACATTGCTTTATGATTATTTATTATGAATTTCTCAAATAACCAAACTTCAACAATATGAAGCAGCTGATGAAGTGATCAAGAATATTCCAAAGCAATGCATATCTTATTTAGCCAACATAATGTCTACACTTTTTTGTTACAAGTTAAAGTAATACGAGAGGAATTGAGTGTGCAGATCTCAGCACTGTTGAGGGGAGTCTCACTTAAACACGCCTGATTGGCCAAGAAATCATCAGAAATGTTTGTGATTGGATACATTGTTTAATGCTGCTAAAAATTTATATTAGTTTCGACGCTCTCAAGACCACAATCACCAAATCTGTTAACGTTTACGATGAGAGTGTCGCGAGAGTGCAGAGTTCAGTTCGCGCACTGAACACAACTCTGGCGTTTCAGCGATTGCTAATCTGACACCTCTGATTGGCCATTTCATTCACGAGCTCAACAGAGTCGTGTGTGATTGGCTATAGTGTGCAACGCTGTAAAACACGGTTTCCAGTCTGAGACCGCTTATCATTGGCTCTGCAAATGGATCTCGCCGATTGGCTTGTTTTCTGTTTTGGTTAAAAAAAAATCATGGACCTTGCTGATATTTTGAGTTATGTCAGGTAGTAGCAATATTTTGCTTGTTTTTCATCTTTTTTTTAAAAACATCTTTTAACACCTTTGATAGGCCTAACAGTAAAACACCTTCCATTTGCTTTTATACATAAACTTTAAAAACATCTCAGTTTGAAATGAATTCACAGTGGACTACATTAAAATAGTTATCTACCTTATGCCACTAATCTAGGCAGTAAATCATTACGAATATTAACCATGGTTTTATTAGGCTATATGGTAAAAGTGTAGTAAATATGTTTTTTGGCATTGATTCCCATTTGTATAACCACAGTTTTACTATAATACCATGTTTAGTGTAGCAAAAGCATGGTTAATTTGTGTTTATCATGGTTTAACTATAATAACCATTTTTTGTAGTAAAACCATGGTTAGTTTTCGTAAGGGCTGTGACATAATACTCATCTCATTATACATCACCTTCTGGTTGAAATGAAAGGTATAGGACTAAATCTAAATCTGTAATTACAAACGGTTGAGTACATGCCTATGTCACTATAACTGCAAATCAATAAGACATGGATTTACACTTTAAAACAGAAGCGTTTATTAATAACCAACATCATGAATTGCCATTCACTTACGTTCCAAATAAAAACAGCTTATATTCATTACGAGATATAAACGTTTCCTACGCAGTGCATAAATAAATGAAATGCAAAAAGACAAATATTAGGACACATTTGAAAGGAAAAATGAAAACATGCTTACAATAAAAAAATAACTGATGCAACAGTGGCGCACACACGAGCCGCGTTTCGCCTTTGTTTACATGCGTAACTCTTCCTTCCGCGTGGAAAAATAGACCCGGACACTTAATTTATCGATGAACAAAGAACTAAAATCACGCAAACCTGTACATTTACTTTGAACATTTGATGAAAACCCAGAAGAGCTGTTAGCGGTGTAGCGATATGCAGTGGAGCTGAGGGAACACGCGAGCGATCGAGCGGAGGGATACAGGAGCGCACAGCGGCGCAGCTGCGCAGAGACGCGCAGGACACAGAGAGAGCGAGATTAAATGCTGGACTGTTGACATATTTCATTTCTGCTCTAAATAATCACACGCGTCGCGACTATGCCGGGGATGATGGACAAAGGCTCGGAGTATCTGGGGAAGGGTCGCTCGAACGGGACGAAAAGCCCGTCTAACGCCTCGAACGGACATTTTTCCGACGAGAGCGGCAGTGACGACGAGCACGGTATAGCCTCAAACACCCCTGCGGAGGTTGTTTATGCATATTGATATATTACAAGCAGTTTGATAAATTCGAAACCTCACACAATGGTTCTTGTTTTCAGATGTGGGCATGCGTGTGGGATCAGATTATCAAGCCAATATTCCTGAATTTGATCCAGGTAGGAATAAACTCCGCGTTCCGCCTTTAAGAACCTGACGGACTGTGGTAGCCTCGGTACACCTTTAATAATTGTTATATAATGAATGTAAAAAAAGTCGCTTTTGGGTATTTTAAGCATCGAATGGTCAATAATAATCTTTTAAATATTTTTTTTATGTTATTGAATGATTTTGTATTCATGAAAAGCTTTTTGTGAAATGATGTTAGCTTCCTCGCTTAGCCACTTATTAGCTAATATACCCAGTAACTTTGACATGTGATTAAATGTGAGTCACGGGTTTATGCTGCTATTTGTTAATTTATAAACCACATATTTAATCAGGAAATAAGTTAACGCTTAAAAGTTGCTGAGTTGTTAAAGTAGCTATGTTGTGTGCCGTTCAGAACTGAATTGAGAATCCGATTAAAATTTCATTCCTGAATCTAGCAAATAGGACGCATAATTGGAAATGGGAGCGAATTTAACCCTCACATACTTGCTGTAACATGCAACAGTTACTACCTTTTTAATAAATACTGGTAAAACTAAACTCGCATTAACAGTTTTGACAGGACATAAATTACCAATTGAATTTCTCACTTAAGAAGTTGCTGTTTATTGACTTTTTTGGAACAAATTTAGTGACTTAGTTGTAGTTTTTTTTTTCTTAATTAACAGAATGTTTACAAATGACTACAACAATATGCTGAAAATATAATGATTGCAAACATTTTATTAATGAATAATGAAATGCATTGCATGTGTTGTTTTCAATAGTACATTCAATTTGAAGTAAAACACTTTTTTATTTTAATAATTTAATGATATTAGAATGATATTTTTTGACATGTAATACACTTTTTTTTTTTTTTTTTTTTTTTTTGTAGGGTCCACAAAATACAGTGATAAAGACAATGGTGGCATGTTGGTTTGGTCCCCATATCACACAATAGTTGATTCGAAATGTAAGTTTTTGCAACTGACTTTTGTGTCATATAAATTTTTTTTAATTGTGAAAAATACTTTAATATTTATATTTTGTATAATACAATTTGTGTCTGTAATGCATTCCCCCCCCACAGTGGACGAGTACATTGCAATCGCGAAAGAAAAGCATGGATACAACGTTGAGCAGGTAAGCTGCGCGAACACCGGGGTCCGAGATATCTCAGTTGTCAGGGACGGCTGACGTACGGATGCTCCTCTTCTGTGCTCCGCAGGCTCTCGGCATGCTCTTCTGGCACAAACACAACATTGAGAAGTCACTCGCTGATCTCCCAAACTTCACCCCCTTCCCTGATGAGTGGACGGTGGAGGACAAGGTGTTGTTTGAACAGGCATTCAGTTTTCATGGGAAGAGCTTCCATAGGATCCAGCAGATGGTGAGTCACGGCCAGCACTCCCAGAGGGTTAACCTCAGTATTAACGCGTCTAGACCACATTTCATCTCAAAATCAAAAAGAGAGAGATAATAAATTACTATCTGGATTTAGAAAACAAAACCTTTTTTAGGATCGCAGGACTTTTTGCATTGATATATTTTATAACTCATTGTAACATCAAATGTTCTCATTATAATTCATGAATCATTCTCATTATGTTCTTGATATTGTAATAGAGTGATATTTCATATTATTTTATTAGGTTACTGAAATGCATTTACCGTTTAAAGGGATACTCCACCGGATTTTCATATTAAACTATGTTATTCCCTTAACTAAGACGAGTTGATACATACCTCTCTCGTCCCAGTGCGTGCACGGCGCGCGAGACACTTTGATCGCACTTAACTAGCCCAGTTCATTCAATACGGGCCCAGAAGAGAAGCGACCAAACACCTCCACGTTTTCCCTATTTAAATACAGTTACACGAGTAGTGTAACTCGACCAAGGACGGTGACACAAAATAAAACGTTGCACTTTTCTAAGCGTGTAAAGTGGATAACTATATTGTATGGCGGAATACCATAGCAAGTGCTTGGGAGCACTTCGACTCGGCGCATATATATCTATGGACTCGGCGCAGTAATATCATCACTCGTGAAAAGTCCTCTCCCTCTCCGGAGTGACGAGAGAGGTATGTATCAACTCGTCTTAGTTAAGGGAATAACATAAGTTTAATATGAAAAACCGGTGGAGTATCCCTTTAATTTAAATTAGCATTATTTAGAAGGCAGTACAATAATTACTAGTGGTCGACCGATATGGGTTTTTTGATGGCCTATGCCGATATCTTAGAGAGCAGGGTGGCCGATATAAAGCCGATATATATATATATATATATATATATATATATACACACTTTATATTTATATAAATCAATATTTAATAAATTAGATACATTTAATAAATATTTAAAAATCTTTCAAATAAACATGCTTAGGCCCTATACTTTAAGATGGCAACTTCTTGAATCTGCAATCCTATTACAGTATTTTTCACAAATAAAGTAATTGTTTAAAAATGTATGAATATGTGAATAAAAGGAAGTAAACACTAAGGGCACTAATCTGGTAATTTCATGCGCACTGATAATCATATTTTTTCAAATAAAGACTTTTTTTTACTTTGACTTTTGACAAGGTAACGCTAATTTTACATACAGCACACAGAGAAAACGACATGAATGTGACACAGTGGGACACTGGATATAGCACAGCATATTTAAAATGAAGGATTTAAAGTTTTTCGATCGAGTCTCCTGTGAAGCTGATCTTCTGTCCGCATTCACACGGACCGTCACTCGCAGGAACACGTTTATGCAGGCTACACATGCACATTTCACAAGATATCACAGCTGGATTCGAATAAATCTGCAAGGTTTGTGAAATTAAATGTTTATTAGATATTCAGAGATTTGTTTAAATTATGTAGATTCGCATTTGCTGAATGTTGATGGTAAATGAAGCCTGATTGTTTGCCTTTTCGGTTACAAATAATATAAAAGCAAACGCTTTACTTTTTCGCATACCATTTACTTTCTTTGATTACTAGTTCTGTAGCCACCGGTTCTGTCTAACAAAGTATTAGATATGACTGACAGAGATCGTAAACTAATGATGACGGAGAATGTGAGTGAGCGTGAGTGCTGTGTGATCAGGCGCTGCGTTCTCTCAGGTGCTTGTGTTCTCAGCGCCGCCCGTCAAAATAAAAGTCAGCGGCGCCGTCAAAATAAAAGTCCCGCTTCCAACACATCGGCCAATCAGAAAAACGTATCGGCCGATGCCTAAATTTAAAAAAAGCCAAATATCGGCCGATATATCGGTCGACCACTAATAATTACTGCCGTTATGTTTAAATATCTCGCAATTACATTTATTTATTTTTTGCTTTATAGGTGAAAATTGTAAAAATGTTACATTTATTATTTTTGCATCAAGAGGTCATGTGCTAAATTTGTAAAAATGTATAACTTATTATACATTACTTACTGCAAGTGTAATTTATTTTTATTATTTATGTTGTATTTTGGGATCAAATCTGTTTTATGAGATCCACCCTATTGAAGTCCTGAGATATCACTTCATAGGAAGTGGCAACCATCGCTATTTGCTTTTTTTTAATCATTAATTCTAGAATTTGATACTTGATTGCAGTTGCCGGACAAATCTATATCCAGCCTCGTGAAGTACTACTATTCGTGGAAAAAAACACGGTCCCGGACAAGTCTAATGGACCGGCAAGCGCGAAAGCTGGCGAACCGGAATAATCAAGATGAAAGGTCATTCATTCTTTGAGCTCAGTATTTAGTTTAGTCTTTCTAATGTTTCAGGGACTCACTTATTTTTGTGTTTGATGCATTAGTGAGGAAGAGATGGAAGAGGGCAACCCCATTGAGGCCAATGACAGTGATTATGACCCTACGAAAGAGGCAAAGAAGGAGGTAATGTCATTATATAATAACAACATTTCAATCATGACAACTCTCGAAATAGTTTTAACATGTTATTGAATATGGCAATGTATTTGGTCTCGGTGGACTAGATGTAAGATCTGTTGCTGCATGAATAGACACGCATGAGTCCTGAATCAGATCTAGACAGGGGGAGGTGGAGGCGTTCAGACGAACTCTGCAGGACTAGCTTACAGCAAACACTGAGCCAGACTATTAGGATGTCTGAATCTCATTGGCTGCAGAGGCCAATCAGCTTGTGCCATGCGTTAGTGATGTGATTGCTTGCAGATTGCATTTAAAGGACCATCAGACGGCGCCCTCTAGAGTTTTTTTTTTGTTGAACTAGATATATTCAAAGCCGTGTAACCAGGGGTCCCATTAATAAAACTTTGCGTCAGAAGTGGCGTACGGATGAAACATAGGACGTGCGTACGCCAGGGTGGGAATTATGTAATTTTAGGGGCAAGGCCATTTGGCCTCCACCTTTTCTTTTTTTTTAGGGGCACCAAGGCCATATGACAGGGCACAAAGGCCATTGAGTACAATTCGATGGTTTTCCCATTCAGATTGATACCATAACATCCTAATTTGGAATAAGACTTTTTTAATAAAAAAAAAAAAACATTTTTTAATGAGAGAGAGAGAGCCATTACATCCAGAAGGTATACACCCGGTCCCTCACACAACAATAGAAACAACATAAATGCCAATAAAAGCATTCAGAAACACCACAAATGCCAATAAAAGCACAAGTATGATCTCATTTGAAAGCTGACACCTGGTAGTTTAATGTAAATGTAGAATTAATTATTGTCATAATGAAAAAAATAGTTATAAATAGATTAAAAAAATTAAAGTTATGAGATTTTTTTTTTTATGAAACATCTTCATGAAAATAAAATTGAAGTTGGCATTGTATCAATCTAGAAATGCACTGCAGCTAAAGCCACATGTCTGACCATGTTATACTTAAAATCTGAAGAAGATATGTCTAAAACTCTGTATTTAGGTAAATGTTTTTCAAGATCATGTCATATGACTTTATTTATTAGCTTAGCACACCATCAATAAACGACAATTTATGAGATTAAAACCATGTTTGTGCTCTAAACTTACTTTATAACTCAAGTCGAGTGTTCTAAATAACCTTCTGTGATCTGATTTGGCTTCAGATAAAAAAAAATCAGACAGAAAATATAATATTTTATGTATAATGCAACGATGATAAAGTCTATCGATTAGCATAACATTTTACATATAATCTATTACAATGAAAATGCCTGACATGGCTCGAAGAACACAGGTAAGTCAAATATCATTGCAAAAATGTTTATTGTCTTCAAAACGACATAATCTGCATGTTACAGCGATCTGTTAGCTCTGTTTGTGGTCGGAGATTTGGGATTTCCTGCATTGTCGAACGCTCTTCTTCATGTGTTTCAAATATTAATAATGTGTTCAGTAGAGCGCCGGCGCCCTCAGGCTGCTGGTATGAATTGAAAACACAGCACATCAGTATACAGCGCTCATAATGATTACATCGACGCAGTTGGCTATAAATTCAATAAAATATTATTCCTGTCAATAGAAATCTGATGTAAACTGATAATATATCAATATTTCTCCAAATCTGCACACTTTTGAGCTAAAAGCCGTGAGGGACGTTGTTTTGTGAATCGCTGTCATGACAGCACAGGAGTTTTTTTATGAATGGGAGCGTCTGACGCAAATGGTTACGTGCGTGTCGTTCTTCTGTTGGTGCTGACGTTACATGCTTCTTGCACTGCTGTTTTGAGGCGTGAGATCATCGATGTGATTATGACACTGCACCTGCGCGAATCCACGAACTAATTGAAGTTCAGAGACTACTTGGGTGGCTCGCTGTAATTCAAAGCAAGCCCACTATGCCGCACTGGCGCTTTATACATGGAACTTGGACAGGGCCAGGGCGCACAGGCCACTGTGGCCGTACGATGATTTTTTTTTTTTCACGGGGTATGAAGGCCAAAGTGTAGGGTATAATTCCCACGCTGGCGTAAGCACAGAAATGTTCGGATTTATAAAACCGCGCGCACGCACATCCTACGCAGTTTTCCCTTAATAAATCACAATCAATTCTAAAAGTAGCTTAGCTTTTGCGGCTTCTTGTCACGCCCATAGTTGCCCATAAATAGTCCGTGAAACGCCCACAAGTTAATATTCATCGATTGCGAAATCATGGCAAACACAGAACGGAAAACCAAGAAACGTAACTTCACTCAATGTGAAGTAGAAGTTATCGTTGGCGAGGTGGAAAAGAGGAGTAACATGTTGTTTGGAGGGCACAGTGTGGGCATTACTAATGCCAAAAAGGCACTTGAGTGGCAAAAGATTGCAGACGCCGTTAACGCTGCAGCCTCACAACCTCGGACCGTGGCCGAAATAAAAAACAAATGGTCGGACATCAAGCAAAAAAGCTTATAGCGCTCCATCGCCAGTGTTGTGATGGCATTTTATTACCATCCATTTGATTGCATCTGACAAGCTACAGATGTGTTATGAGGATGAACTGCATAACATGCCAATATTATTGCAGAACATATTTCACTTTTCTTTTTGCAAATGTGTTAATTTGCATTTCTGTTGTAATCCTCGTTTGATTTTGTTTGTTTTACACTGCAGATCGATCAAACGGGTGTTCGTGTAGGCTGTTAATTGTAATACTTGCTTTGTGAAGTCTTTATTTATGAGAGGCAGTATTGCCATTTCTTTTACACAACGGTCTACAGTTTCACACACTTTCACGTGTTTCTTCCATCGGCCGACGGTGTCGCCATTTCTCATTTCACCCGTTTTTGTGCGTACGCCTGGGCCAGAGTTTACGTGAAGGACCGCACATTTTCCCATCAAGTTTGCTTTTTATAAATACCAATTATTGCGTAGAGAGCGGCATACTCCTCCTTTTGTGCGTACGCAAACGAGGCCCAGGACTTGACGAGTCACTCCTATTAGCCACTTTGGTGGGTTGAATTTTATGTAAAATACATTTTTCAATTGTAGTCTTTTAAAAAGGCATTTGAAATGATAAACTAAGTGCAACATCTAGTGTTGTCATAAATACAGATTTTTCGATAGATGGTGATTCTGAAATATCTGAACTATACAGCACCAGCTGCACGTTCTCGCTCTATATCTCTCTGACAGCGAGCGACACAAACCTGTGTTCCTGTACTCACTCGTTTCATTTGCTCCGGATGAATATTGTTGGTGTTACAGGGCTTGAATTTCGGCGTTGGATTGTGCATATTGAGCATCATTTTACTCAATCCTGCAGATTTTGTGCTCACACCCAAAGTGCGTGCACATAAAGACTAGTATATGCTATATAGAGCAGTATAATGAATCCGTGCGTCAGCTCTTAAAGTGACAGCAGCCTAATATACCGGCTGCCAAATTATGAGATAATATAAAAAATATCTAAATGACAGTTTTTCCCCATGGTATCGATGTCAAAATTGTGGCCAGTGAAAATGCTGAGTGGCTAGTGACTTTCAGGGTACCCGCGGGTCTTAAAAGCCTTGAAAAAGTCTTGAATTTGATCATCTCAAATTAAGGCCTTAAAAGCCTTGAATTTTGTATACCAAGTCTTGGATTTCGTTACAAAGGTCTTATTTATGTTTTTGCCTTTGCTAGGATTAAGTTCATACGGTAACTAAATTAACTGTTACTAATGTTGGCTAATTCAAAATGTATGCAACGTTGAGTTTGGTTGAGTGCACCTCGCGCTCCACGTCATAGCAGAAGAAGCGATCGCGTGCGCACCCGTTACTATGGTTACTAGGCAAGTGAGGTACAGAACAAGATAGTACCTAGCCTAGTTTAATCCGCTGTGGCCACAAATGACAGAATTTAAACCCCAAATACGAGCTTTTCTGTTAAAAGAACATATTTTCTACCCGGTCTTTTCAATAGTATCTGGCAACCATGCGCACGCTTTCTCTCTACACTGCTGAAGCGCGGATTATCTGAAAACACAGACAAGCTGGTTGGCAACAGTTGGCATTCAGCGATCTTTATTTAAAATGTTGTAGCCTACTTGAATTAAAGTGTCATCCAGTCGGTCTGTGTTCTGTCACGAGCCGCTTGCGCTGTTTGTGCGACTAAATCTGCGATCAAAATGCAGGCTGATATATCCACCAGTGTTCATACGAGCAAGAATGCAATGTTTCCCGAATATCCACACGATTTCAAATGTGACATTGATTTTATACAACAGTAAAAAAGAAAAGAAAAAAAGGGTAACATTAAGTGATGTACTACATTTAAAACAGCATTGTCAGGCTTATTGCTCTGTTTTGCAACGAAATATGTGGCTTTGAACGAATCGTGAGATCCAATGAATGAATGACTCAAAGAATCACTCATAAAGATAGGGAGTTACCTACAGTTAGGTGGCCTACTGGCGATTTTAATGTTTTTTAACATTGCAAATTTAATGAACATTGTTTTATTTAAAGCATTATTTCTGTCTTTTTTTAAGGTATTACAAAGGTAAAAAAAGGGGATAATTATGTAGAACTGCACAAGTGCTACTGCTAAAGTCGTGCAATGTCAATCATTTCTCATAAGCCTAATTGAATTGGCCTAGAGAGAATAATTATTATGACATTTTCTGTCTAAAGAATACATATAAAATAACTACCAAAAGTAAAGTAACTGCAGTTTGACTAAAAGTGGACAAAAAATGCAAAGACTTTTCGTCAACTACAACTATAAAAAACTGGATGACTCAAATGTGATTAAGACCAATAAACATTTTCGTCTTAAGACTAAATAAAAAATGGCTGCCAGAATTACACTGGCCTACATACACGTGCGCGCTACAATGCTGTTGCGTATGTATTAAATGAATTAAATAAACATTTTACTTAAATTATCAGTCAAGTAGCTTCCTTGTACATAATTATTTTCTAGGGTTTAAAATGTATACAGATTTGACATTTTCCCCTCATACTTCTGTCGGAATGGGTACGAAGTTGGCATTGAATTTCATTTGAAATGGTATTAAAAAGGTCTTAAAAAGCCTTGAATTTAAGTTGGAGGATCCTGGGGGCACCCTGGACTTTACTAAACCACTAGCCACAGTGGCTGGAGCGCAGAAGTTAAGGTCAGGCCCTGCATGTAACCAACAAAAGGGAATATGACCGTACACTTCAGCTTTTCCAGCGCTCTATACAGTCATTTGTTTAGGTGTAACAATATATCGTGTCACAATAGATCGCAATACAAAAATGCAACAATATGTATCGTGGATAGTTCACCCAAAATAAAAATGACTGTGTGAGAAACAAAATCAAGTTTTCAGGTTTTAGTGTCAGTACTACATTAAACTGCTATATATAATTTTGAATATAATGTATATTAATGCAATGGGGAATATTTGTGTGCCTGATAATGCCAGATGTCTGATGTTACCAGTAAAAAGTGTCCGACATTATTTTAAATATATCTAGTCAGTGACCGAGTGCAAGCATTTTCGCCTAAAATAATTCAGTATTTTCAGCTTCAGAATCATGAATATTGTTACTCTGGTGTCTCTATTGTCCTGTGCTTTGGGTTTCAGCACCAAGTCCAGCCTATTCATTTACACACACAATGAAATACCAAATTCAGCATTTTAATCATTTAATCATCAAGCATTTAGCATTGTGTATTGCAATAATATCATATTAATAACAGTATCGTGATATGTATCGAATCGTGACATGAGGGTACCGCTACACCCCTAGTAATCTGTTCTCCCCCCCGATAGAGTCAACCAGAGCCTCAGACACTGAGCTCCAAAATGGGTCTGGGCCGGCGAGAGCACCAGACGCTGCAGCACCGGCACCACAGCCAGCGGTCCAAGTGCCGGCCGCCCAAAGGCATGTTCCTCACGCAGGAGGACGTGGTGGCGATCTCCTGCAGCTCCAGCGCCGCCAGCTCAGTCCTGCGGCAGCTCGACAGCGAGCTCGTGTCCCTCAAACGGCAGGTGCGCTGAGGACTTACCGTTAGTGCTCACACTTTACACTGAGGCTCATTAGTTAACATTAGTTAAAGGGTTAGTTCACCCCATAATGAAAACTCTCAGTAATTACTCTCCCTCATGTTGTTCAACCCCGTAAGACTGTCGTTCATCTTCAGAACACAAATTAAGATATTTCTGATTAAATCTGAGAGCTGGATCACTCCTCCATAGGCTTCTAAGGGATCGAAACTGGCCGGCCCAGAAAAACATTGTTAAAATAGTCCGAGTGACGACAGCGGCTCAATCTTAAGTTTATCAAGCGACGAGAATACTTTTTGTGCGCAAAAAACAAACAAAAATAACGACTTTATTCAACTATTCATTTCCTTCTCTGTGGGCCTCGAGTGAGTTCACGTAGTGTAACAGCGCAGCGCTTCTGGGTTGTACGTCACACGCAGGCTCACTATTGGCCGACGCTGGTCATGTGTGTGATGCGTGTGACGTCACAGAAGCGCTGCGCAATTACTATTTTAACAATGTTTTTCAGGGCTGTCAAGTTTCGATCCCTTAGAAGCCTATGGAGGAGTGATCCAGCTCTCAGATTTAATAAAAAAAATCTTAATTTGTGTTCTGAAGATGAACGAAAGTCTTACGGGGTTGAACAACATGAGGGAGAGTAATTACTGACAGAGTTTTCATTATGGGGTGAACTAACCCTTTAATGTATTAACTAACACGAAACAAATGTATTTTTGATAATTTGATAATGTTAGTTTATACAAATACAGCTGTTTGTTCATGTTAGTTCACAGTGCATTAACTAATGTTAACAAGGCTTTAATAAAGTATTAGTTAATTTTGAAATTAACAAAGATTAATAAATACTGTATTTTTAAGTGCAGTTCATGCTAACTAATATAATGAACTAATGAACCCTATTGTAAAGTGTTACAGAATTAGTAAATGACAGGCAAAGCCTTTGAAGAAGATTGTCGATGTCTTCTTTCCTCCTCACATGTTCAGCTGGTTTCCTTCAGGTCCAGAATGCCAAGCAGTTGAACAGCGGACTCAAGCAGAAGATGGAGGACGGCATTGATGAATTCAGACTGCCTGAGGTACTTACACCTTTACTTATGCGCACTTCAATCTGAAGCATGTCCGGGTTTGCTCGCATGTTAATATCATTAAAGTGGCGATGAGTCAACTTTATTTTCTGTAGCGCTTTATACAAAACAGATTTTTTTACTAATGATCAGATTGTTTGACTAATGATCTTTGCAACGGAAGTGAATCAATTAAAACTGACTTTAGCTGGACAATAACTTTATTCTAAAGCTGTCATAAAGCCAAAACAATCTCTGTTACTGTAATCTCCTATTATCACTGTAAAGCTGCTCTGAAACAGTCCATATTGTTAAAAGCGCTGTATAAATGAAGGTGACTTGACTTTTAAAGCAGCTTTACAGTGATAACAGGAAATTTATGCATTCAGTTCAGTGTTGGTTCAGTTGTAAAGAGCATCAATTATTAAATTGGTTCATTTCATCTATAAAGAATTTTAAAAATCTTGTATAATATGACTTGGTGGTTTTGTTTGTTTGGTTTTAATTGTATTTATATGATATTTGTATTTTTGTAATTGAATTTTTGCCATGAAAATAGCCTTGGATGCTGACGTGACGCTAAATAAAACAATCTGAATCCTCTATAAAGCAGTTCTGCAGAAATTGATGTCATCGTCCAGCTCAGTTCAGTTCTCGTATAACAGCGACAGATCAATAATATTGTTGAAGTGTCCCTAACGGTTTAACAACAGTGTTGTCTTTGTTCCAGTGCACCCAAAAAATCAACGCCCGCTGGACAACAGACGAGCAGCTCTTGGCGGTACAAGGTATATAAACCGTAAACCGTTTCAGTTCCACAACAGATCAGTGATGCGCGGGTCGGCTTTTTTTCCAACCCGCGGGTCCCGCTTTTATGAAATTATTTGGCCTGCCCGCAGCACTGTGTCTATTTTTACGACCCGCCCCGCACCCGCGACCGTTAAATAGACATGGGTATTGTAATGTAAATGAAAACAGCCTTTATTTCAGCCTGAAAGTGCTTGGAAACATCGCCCTGTAAACTGGCAACAACAGACGATTATGAATATGAACCATAAATCAGGTCATTAATAAGATAGGCCTACTAATAAACATTTTCAACATTTACAAAGCAGCGTTTGTATTCATCTAATAGGCTAAACCACCCCCACAAATATGTCTTGACATGCTGGAAGTGCCATTTTGTGGCTCTCCTGTTTGTATATTTCACACGAGCTGCGCTTCACGTAGCCGAGACTGTCTCCTGCTGCAACTGTGTCTGAGAACCGCTCCCAAACATCAGATTTAGCAGCCTGAACTTTTTTTTCTTTTAATTATGTAAATTCCCGACCTAGATTTCTCCCGCACCTCGTCTTCCATCTTCACTTGTATTCTCCGCTCTTGTTGTCGTGGCTGGCGGCGGCGGGAGCTGCTTGGCGCGCCGCTTTCGTGACGTGTCATGTGACGCCGAAGGTTTGGGGACATCACGCAAGTTACATTGCTAAGGCATTCGTATTGTAACCTTATAAGATCCTAATAAAATATGAAAATAGATATTCCCAAATATTTAATATAGGCTGGAAATTGCTAACCTAGCCCTAGCCAGATGAATTTCGCTCCGCCTAGCTTCACTCATCCATCTGGAACCGATCCATTGAAATGGCGTTTCAGAAGGCTGGGCCTTATCAAAAATCCTTGCATATGATTGGATAAGCCACTTGTCTGTCATCTTTATCGACGTGCTATTTCAACCACTCACACCAAAGCCAACCCGTGACGCTGAAGAATCCGGTCGGGAGAAGGCACTGATCTATATAACATCGTTTCCACCAACAAAAGCCTTAAGAGCCGTTCTCTGATGTTCTTTTAATGAAACAATATTAGGTAGATTGGACAACACGGATGAAATAGCAGCATCAATGTTAACGCTTGCTTCCTCGATGCGAGCCGCCATTGTTGTCTGAATCAAAACAGTCTCACGGTCGCTTCTCCACTACGTCACATCTATGAAACTCCCGCCCTGCGTCCTGATTGGCTAAACCATAAAGTTGGTTGCAGAAATCACTCTCAATGGAAGAGGTTCCAGATGGATGTGAGTGAAGCTAGGCGGAGCGAAATTCATCTGGCTAGGGCCAGGTTAGGAAATTGCACGCAACATACATGGATTTTTTTTTAAATTAATGACCCGCACCAACCCGCCCTGCAAATAAAGTGACAATGTCTTTCCCCGACCCGCGGTTACGAGTCGACCCGCGCATCACTACAACTGTTCTTATGCAGAACGTCATTCATGACATCCTTTTTTGCACCATTCAACCAGGAGTACGGAAATATGGGAAGGACTTCCAGGCTATTGCTGACGTCATAGGGAATAAAACCGTGGGACAGGTAAAGAATTTCTTTGTGAACTATCGGCGGCGGTTTAACCTGGACGAGGTGCTTCAGGAATGGGAGGCGGAACAGGGCACTCGTACTCCCAACGGAGATGGAGCCAATTCTGGTGAGGATGGGAAACACAGCAACACCTCCTCCGGGAAGAGCACAGATGAGGAAGAGGAAGAGGTAAGGGTTAGGGCTCACTGTAGTTACTGGGATACTTGCCAAGGCGGGCATTTTGAGATCAATCTGTGTGAATTTGTCAGTTCAGTTACAATGCTTAAAATGGCAACACTTGAAAACACGTGCAAATGCTAAACCTCCGTGACCGTGCAGCGCTGGCCCGATCGGGACACTGGCGGTTCCTGTCCATAACCTCTCTCACGCTGAAAGCCACTCCTGCATCTGCCATGTTCAGCACTGGATGAGTGACAAACCATTGTCCCCGTTGTAACATAGCACTAGGTGAATAGAGGATGACGTCTAGTGGAGAAGACTAGTAATAAGACGTCAAACAAATATTATGTTTACAAACGCTTACGGAAATAAATACGCTAAAAATATTGATTCGTGGCTTTTGAAAATCGAAACCAGATTTTAAAAACAATTAATTGAGAAATCGATTTGCTTGCCCTAGTAATGATTAACCCTGTGAAGCCTGACTCGTGAAATAAGAGTGAGACTAATCTTTTCTTTTTGTTTTTTTTGTGGAACTGTTCATCAAACTATATAAACATTTATGACTCATATAGTTTGATATAGTGAGAATACGGATGAAAAAAAGGCTTTAATTTTATTAATACGCCCAAACTGAGCAAAAATTTTTTACAATTTACAGCATCAGAATTTTATCTTATAAAAATCAGCATCTGCACCAAATTGCACATGAAGCACGGAAATGAAGGTGGTAATGTTTTATAATTAAGGCCTGTGCACACAGGGACGCTTATCGCCAGTGAAAATCGCTTGAACACAAAGACGTATCGAGAAACGCTGCCAATAAGCACGCGCGATTATCGTCCCGGTGTGCACGAGGCTTTATGCTAATAGGCCTTTTACTCGCTAAACTATCTATCAGATGACAAAAGATTGTGTGCGACAGGGTTTAGTTTTTATCATATTGCTAATTTAGAAGCCTTAGAAATTGTGTATCAAATGTACAGTGGGCTTAAAAATGTCAGGTAACACTTTACAATAAGATTCATTAGTTAACATTAATGTATTTACTAACCATGAGCACTACATTTGTTACAGTATTTATTCATCTTTGTTGACGTGAGTTAATAAAAATACAGTCATTCATTGTTCATGTTCGTTCACAGTGCATTAACTAATGTTAACAATATTTTAATAAAGTATTAGTAAATGTTGAAATTAACATTTAACAACGTGTAATAAATAAGTGCAGTTCATTATTAGTTCATGTTAACTAATGAACCATATTGTAAAGTGTTACCAAATGTCTCATGTTTGACTGAACAACTCCTTTAAAAACTAAGATGAGATGTTTTTGGTTGCACTGTTGTTTTGTAGTTGTGCTCTACATAAACCTTGTCTTCTCTCACGATCAGGGTCAGGTGACCCCGGCCTCGGGCCCGTCTCCTGTAGCCGCGTCCTCCTCCTCATCCTCCTCTTCATCATCTCTGCCGGCCTCGCTCCACCAGCCTCCGCCTCTCCTGCGCCCCTCTCTCCCCGCCACCCCGGCGTTACACCGCCAGCCTCCGCCTCTGCAGCAACAGGCCCGCTTCCTGCAGCCCCGGCCCGCCCTGCACCAGCCCCCGCCACTCATCCGGCCCTCCGCCCCCCTGCCCCCCCGCCTCAACCCCCGGCCGGCAGCACCCGTCCCGGCGCCGCCGCCGCCCTCTCTGCTGGAGACGCCCTCCTCCTCCTCGCTACACTGACCTGCTCATACACCTGTGGCGGCGCAGGGGAAGCTAGCCGTTAGCTAGCAGTGCTCGTTGTGAATACTAGAAAAAGAGGATTGTTTTAAACTGTATATATTAGTTATGTAACTGTCTATTTATTTGAACTGATTTTCTTTCTGATTTTAGGTTTTGTAATCATGTCGTAATCATGTTGTACTTTAAAGGGATGGTTCACCCGAAAATGAAGAAAATTAGCCCATGATTTACTCACCCTGGGTGTTTTTGACTTTCTTCTTTCAGACGAATACAATCAGAGTTATATTAAGTAATGTCCTGGCTCTTCCAAGCTTTATAATGGCAGTGGTCGGCTGTATATTTTTTGGAAGTCCATCAAAGTGCATCTATCCATGATAAAAGTGCGTCTATCCATGATAAAAGTGCGTCTATCCATGATAAAAGTGCGTCTATCCATGATAAAAGTGCGTCTATCCATGATAAAAGTGCATCTATCCATGATAAAAGTGCGTCTATCCATGATAAAAGTGCATCTGTCCATGATAAAAGTGCGTCTATCCATGATAAAAGCGCATCTATCCATGATAAAAGCGCATCTATCCATGATCAAAGTGCATCTATCCATGATCAAAGTGCATCTATCCATGATCAAAGTGCATCTATCCATGATCAAAGTGCATCTATCCATGATAAAAGTGCATCTGTCCATGATAAAAGTGCATCTATCCATGATAAAAGCGCATCTATCCATGATAAAAGTGCATCTATCCATGATAAAAGTGCATCTATCCATGATAAAAGTGCGTCTGTCCATGATAAAAGTGCGTCTGTCCATGATAAAAGTGCGTCTATCCATGATAAAAGTGCATCTATCCATGATAAAAGTGCGTCTATCCATGATAAAAGTGCGTCTATCCATGATAAAAGTGCGTCTATCCATGATAAAAGCGCATCTATCCATGATAAAAGTGCATCTATCCATGATCAAAGTGCATCTATCCATGATCAAAGTGCATCTATCCATGATCAAAGTGCATCTATCCATGATCAAAGTGCATCTATCCATGATAAAAGTGCATCTGTCCATGATAAAAGCGCATCTATCCATGATAAAAGCGCATCTATCCATGATAAAAGCGCATCTATCCATGATAAAAGTGCATCTATCCATGATAAAAGTGCATCTGTCCATGATAAAAGTGCGTCTGTCCATGATAAAAGTGCGTCTATCCATGATAAAAGTGCGTCTATCCATGATAAAAGTGCGTCTATCCATGATAAAAGTGCGTCTGTCCATGATAAAAGTGCGTCTGTCCATGATAAAAGTGCGTCTATCCATGATAAAAGTGCATCTATCCATGATAAAAGTGCGTCTATCCATGATAAAAGTGCGTCTATCCATGATAAAAGTGCGTCTATCCATGATAAAAGTGCGTCTATCCATGATAAAAGTGCGTCTATCCATGATAAAAGTGCATCTATCCATGATAAAAGTGCGTCTATCCATGATAAAAGTGCCCCACACGACTCCAGGGTTAATAAAGGCCTTTTTTTAAACGAGAGTTTTGAAAGCGAGATGTGGCTTGAGTTTGTTGGCCAGCGCTGTGTTTGAACCGCGAGAGGCGTCTAAGCTTACGATACTCCTACATCACACATCGATATATCTATATTTAAAACTTTATCGACTAAAATAACTAGCTTCCGGCAGACGGCCGTACGCATCGATTTACGCCAAAAGAGAAACACTTGACCCGCGACTCACAACGTAATGATGAACGCGGTTGGCCAGCGCTGTGTGTTTGAACCGCGAGAGGCGTCAAAGCTAACGCCACTCCCACATCACACATCGTCAAGTGTTTCTCTTGTGGTGTAAGTCGACTTGCGTACGGTACGGCCGTCTGCCGGAAGCTGGTTATTTTAGTCGATAAAGTTTTAAATATGGATATTTTTCTTACACAAACGCATCACTTTGCTTCAGAAAGCCTTTATTAGCCCTGGAGCCGGGAGGAGCACTTTAATCATGGATGGATGCACTTTGATGGACTTAAAAAAAATATACCCATTCACTGCCATTATAAAGCTTGGAAGAGCCAGGAAATTTATTAATATAACTCTGATTTGTATTCGTCTGAAAGATGTATTTCATGTACACCTAGGACGGCTTCAGGGTGAGTAAATCATGGACTAATCTTCTTCATTTTTGGGTGAACTATCGAAACAACCTTCAAGTCTTTAAAATATTGTGTTCTGTCTCTGCACTTTTCCTTGTTGTATCTACGGTGTACGGCGAACCTCTTTAAACGTGGGGTTCGCTCGGCATCTTGTTGTTCTTCTGTGTTTGTGATTGTCATGTTATCTTGTTTCATATTTTAATATTTGGTGCTACAGGATGACAGAAAATCACCTGTCCTGATTCTTTGCCAGATTATCTTGCCATCAAAGTGCTCTTAACAAGTAAGACAATATAATGAATCACTAATGAAAATCATAGAAGAATCTTACTGTCACTTTTTCATGAGTTTTTTTTGTATATAGATACCAAAAACTTTCTTAGTCCCTCGAGTATAAAACACTTAATTTCAACATCAACTCATTATTTTTGTTAATTAGCATTAATTTTGGTTTCTTTATAAACCTGTTTGACTTGCATAAATGTGTAAAGGATCCACACGTTCCCACCAGACATTAAGCTGTTTCATTAGTGGTGTGCTGTTGGTTGATCAGAGCATGTAGCGTTGCCCTGTTCTCCACCCTGCGGAAAGTGGGATTGGGATGAACTTCGGATTGGGGATCAGTGGGCCGTGGTTACGTGCACATCATTTTCAAATGAAGGTCTATATTCTGGTTAAACCTTTCTTCTGAAAAGATGTTTACACTCCACGGCTCTAAATGTTACTGTGTGTACATGTAATGAGCATTATCCGAATAAACCAATGTGCATTCTTTCCCTGTTTATTCTCTTTTGGAAACAATGGTGATCCTCCTGACATTTATTTTATCTATTTAAAGTCCCCCTGTGGTGAAAATCCAGCTTTTAATGTTGTTTATATGTCTATGTGGTGTTTTTAATGTGCTTTAAGACAAACCATGTGTAAATTCATAAATCGACAGCATTGCTGAGTATTTCCTCCTTAAAACTGCAGTGAACCAAAGACAGTCTCAAAAACACGGTTTGAAATCGCTGGTGTTTCTGACGTCACAAACGACCTTGTAACCAATCAGATCAACGTGTGATTGTCAACCAGTGGATCTCTGAGCTGAGTGAGTGAGTGGAGGCGGGGCTCATTTGCATATTCATACAATCGCGTATACTAAATGAGGCAAGGGTGTCGAGTTACATTCAAGATATTTTAAGGCATGAATAATATTTTTTTTCAAGGAAAAAACTGTTAAATATGTCATTTTGGTGATCAAAGATGAGTTTTAAGGGATACAATGATTGACTACAGGGGGACTTTAAACATCATTTTTCAATGTGTCCTTAATAGCACACAAGATCGTGATGAGAAAAACAGGTTGAGATTTTATTTATGTTTGAAGAATGTTAGTGAAGAAAGTATTTTTGCTCCATTAATTTTATTCTAATGAATAGATTGATTTAACACGACAACTGTATAACCCAGTATTACAGATGTTTGGATATGCGGATATTCAGTCATGGTAAATATTCTGAAAAAAAAAATGCTTCAAAATGACATTTGCATCATCAGAATTAATATGGGAATATTCTTGTGCATAGAAGCAGTCATTGTGTAAACCTTTTTTCCACTTATGTACCATTTTTCTCCTGGTTAAATCGTTCATAATTTCTCTTTTCTGAATAGTTCTTAAAAAGATTTGTGCTGTTTTAACCTTTTATATTATTATTATTTTAAAAAATGAATCAGTTATGATATTTGTGAGTGTGGAACTCAAGTTTTTAAAAGATTGTTGTTGTTTTTTGGTATTGGTTTAATAGCCTACTGTATGGAGTTGGCTGCATATTGACAAATGCTACGTCTTAAACAGTACAAAACATTTTTGGACGATATTTTATTTTCAATATTCCTTTTCGTATCTCTGCTTTTCTTTTATAAACCCTTCATTTTGAAATGTTATTTTAAAACGGGTTGTAGGCAGCTCAGAGTGTTGTGGCATCATATGCAAAATAATGAAAAGTCCCCTTAAATGTGTGCCCAACGCATGTTCATATGTGAAGTGTTATAATCTGTCATGTGCTCGTCATATGGAAACATTAAAACACGTTTGAACAGACAAGTTTCATTTTCGTTTGATCTAAGTTAGCGTGCCATGACGACAGGAACACTGCGGTGTGTCTGTTTGACTTTCTCTCTCATAGTTTAAAGATGCGTTAATGTGTGTGAGATGTGGTAATGTGTGTGTCGGCATTTTAAGCGCATTCTATTTCTGTAATAATTTCGTTTATAGAAACTTCCTGCGATGCACTTTCCGTCTACAAATTTACGAAACCTACTATCGCCAAGACTTCATTAATGAATATTCATATGACCTTACGCGGTAAACATCCCGTGACGTTGCCTGATTAATATTCATGAGCCTGGCCTTTGCCGTAGTAGGATTGGTCAATGCGTTTTCCGTTCCTTTTAATCTCGTGGCAGCGCGCCCGAAATAAGAGTGACGTACTCGGTGCATCGGCACTGAGCGCTGAGCCGAGTAACTGTCAGAAAGCATTTCTCAGGATTATATCCATTAAACGCTCAACCACATTAATCAAAATGAGCTATTAAAGCCATCAACCCCCAGGTATGTATTCCCATGCATTTTAAAATAAATACTGCGAATAATATTGCTGGTAGTGTAAAGCGAAAGTAAATGTTTCAATGTGAAATACATGGCTATAATTGAGTTATTGACTGTGTTGTGTTTACACGATAACCACGCGAAGCCGGACTAATTCACTCGCTTTATACAGGCATGTGAGAACAAATGCTTTTTACTTCTACATAGATTCATAGTGTCATGTTCTTGCACTGGGGATTCCCCCATATGTTCTCTCTCTCTCTCTCTCTCTCTCTCTCTCTCTCTCTCTCTCTCTCTCTCTCTCTCTCTCTCTCTCTCTCTCTCTCTCTCTCTCAGGAACAGACTGCTCGTTGCTGCATCAAAGCTGCATTATGTAAAAGTAATACAGCTTTGAAAATAATGAACGCTCAAAACACTTGGCCATGTTAACGCCATCGTCCTGTGTGAACACTGCACACTCAGTGTATCTCATGTTTTGGTGTGGTGGTGGTGTGCACCTTCGCACTTCTAAGAAGCAACATAAGAAAAGTAAATGGAAGTCAAATTGAACGGTTAAAATTACCCACTTGCTGAATTATGTCCCAAGTTAACAAATTAGATTGCATTGCATAGTGCACATTTGCTCACACGTGATTTATTTGATCTAAAATCTAATTGTGTGGCAAATAAAAGAAACAATGAAACAATTTAAATTATACATTTATTGCTTATGTAATGGCAAGAAAATGACCAGGATCGAAATAAAGATTGCTCAGCGAGGGATTGATGGTGATAGTTTTGTAATTTACTCAAACAAGAGTGCAATGTTTGTGACTGTGACAAACTAAAAATAATAAAAAGGCATTGCTGTGAGAGCTAAGCAGGAAAATATGTTATAAAAGACTAACAGGATGACTGTGTACATTTTTAATAAAACAATTATTGTGATATAATATTCATTTAGTATTAATTTAAATATTTTGACAGAAAACTGAACTTTCTGGTATTATTAATTTAGATTAATATCCTTGTAGCCAGAAATATTTTAAATTGTGAATATGAAAATGTATTTATACCATGTGTGTTTGAATACTTGATTCTGATTGGCTGGAAGGTGTGAAATAAAACCGTTTAATGAACAGGTTGTTCCAAGTCAGTTTAATCACCGTTCTACATTAATGCGCTGTTCTCATTGAAGCATGTACACACACACACACACACACACACACATATCCACGCTAGCTGTTCTTTCATTTTATGCTAGCCATGGATTATCCCTTACATATATTACTTTGATATAAATATCAACTTTAGAGTTGCTAAAAACAAAAGAAAACAATTATAAATTATTTTAAGTTTTCTTCTGTTGTGTCAGACCTAACATTACCTCTTGGTAATGTTACCAGGTTTCCATGGCCACAGAGGAGAACGAGCGTCCTGGGTTCTCGAACTCTGAGTCCATGAGGTCATGGGAGCTGGAATCCGTTCTGACCAATCGCACTCTGCGCTTCGTGTTGAGGTTAGAGCAACAGTTCGTGTGCCCGTCCTGCGGTGGGATCGTCCTGAACCCTCACCAGACGGGCTGCGGGCACATTTTCTGTGCTCAGTGCGTAAAGGCATACATGTAAGACAAATAAATTAGTTCAATTAATTAAACAATTTGTTGTATATCAGCACAGATAAACATGACTTTGAACTGACATTACTTTCAGCATTTAAATGATTTGGCAATGTATAAACTTTCTTCTTTTCAGTGAAAATGGGGGAAGTTCTAAATGTCCTTTAGACAGCAGTCCTATAAAACCTGAGGAGGTGAGATAATATAACTTATTTAAAAAAGTATTGATCTGCAGGTATCATGAGCGTAGCTTAATTTTCCGTTATATTCTACTGAATAGCAATTCCAATACTTGCAGGTTTTTCAAGACAACTGCTGTAAAAGGGAACTGCTAAACTTAGACGTCTACTGCACCAATGCCCCAGACTGTAAGCAGAAGGTTACTTTATGTAACCTGCAGGTAAAGGCCTAAACGTGATGTAATATGCTTTAAATTGATGATGAAAAACTGTTTCCATCCTTCAGAGCTCAGTAATATCAGTACTACCTCTCTTTCTCAGGATCATCTAAAAGCTTGCCAGTATGAGCGCATTAGATGTTCCAACTCAGGGTGCACCGACACTGTGTTACGCAAAAACCTAATGGACCATCAGAAGAGCGTCTGTTCCTTCCGCCTGGATTCCTGCCACCACTGCAGGCAGTCTTTTCCCGTATCTCAACTGCTGGTCAGAACGTTTCCGTGTCTCAGAAGTGCATAGTCATCTTAGGTGTGTTTGTTTCTAATCCTGCCTCAAAACTATGCCAGGCCCATCAGAAGACTTCATGCCCGGAAGTTGAAGTCGCCTGTTCCAACAAGTGTCTGCAGATGATCAAAAGACACAAGGTGTGACTCAGTCAGATACTTTACTCCAGGAGAGCACCTGGAGTGAATCTTTTTTATTGCTCTCTTCAGATTAATATGGAGCCTCTAAGGGGACACAGGGATCTCATATTTTTTACATCAACATGTTCCCTTAGGGGCTCAGTGGCTTTAAATATGTATTTATCTGCACTTATCATGAATGTAGCTTAAATTTATATTATATTCTACGGAGTACCAGTTCCTATCCTTGCAGATTTTTCAAGACTTTTTCAAAAACCTTTTCGTTTGCTTGTAAAACCTTTGCTTTTCCCTCCGAGAACCTTTGCGTTCACTCGCTAAACGTTTGCGTTCCTCCGAGAACCTTTGTGTTCCCTCACCAAACCATTATATTCCCCCGAGAACCTTTGTGTTCCCTCGCCAAACCATTGCATTCCCCCGAGAACCTTTGTGTTCCCTCGCCAAACCATTATATTCCCCCGAGAACCTTTGTGTTCCCTCGCCAAACCATTGTGTTCCTCCGAGAACCTTTGTGTTCCCTCGCCAAACCATTGCATTCCCCCGAGAACCTTTGTGTTCCCTCGCCAAACCATTATATTCCCCCGAGAACCTTTGTGTTCCCTCGCCAAACCATTGTGTTCCCCCGAGAACCTTTTGTGTTCCCTCGCCAAACCATTGCGTTCCCCTGAGAAACTTTGTTCCCTCGCCAAATCATTGCATTCCCCCGAGAACCTTTGTGTTCCCTCGGCAAACCATTGTGTTCCCCCGAGAACTTTTGCATTTGCTCGCCTAACCATTGTGTTCCCCCGAGAACTTTTGTGTTCCTTCGGCAAACTATTGCATTCCCCCGAGAACCTTTGTGTTCCCTCGCCAAACCATTGCGTTCCCCTGAGAAACTTTGTGTTCCCTCGCCAAACCATTGTGTTCCCCCGAGAACCTTTGTGTTCCCTCGCCAAACCATTGTGTTCCCCCGAGAACCTTTGTGTTCCCTCGCCAAACCATTGCGTTCCCTCACCAAACCATTGTGTTCCCCCGAGAACCTTTGTGTTCCCTCGCCAAACCATTGTGTTCCCCCGAGAACCTTTGTGTTCCCTCGCCAAACCATTGTGTTCCCCCGAGAACCTTTGTGTTCCCTCTCCAAACCATTGCATTCCCCGGAGAAATTTTGTGTTCCCTAACCAAACCATTGCATTCCCCCAAGAACTTTTGCAATTGCTCGCCTAACCATTGTGTTCCCCTGAGAACCTTTGTGTTCCCTCGCCTAACCATTGTGTTCCCCCGAGAAACTTTGTGTTCCCTCGCCAAACCATTGTGTTCCCCCGAGAACCTTTGTGTTCCCTTGCCAAACCATTGCGTTCCCCTGAGAAATTTTTTTGTTCCCTCGCCAAGAATTCCCCCAAGACGCAAAGGTTCTTGGGAGAATGGAGAGGTTTGGTGAGGGAACGCAAAGGTTTGGTGAGGGAATGCACCAAACCTTTGCATTCCCTCACCAAACCTTTGCATTCCCTCACCAAACCTTTGCGTTCCCTCACCAAACCTCTCCATTCTCCCAAGAACCTTTGCGTTCCCTCACCAAACCTTTCCATTCTCCCAAGAACCTTTGCGTTCCCTCACCAAACCTTTGCATTCCCTCACCAAACCTTTGCATTCCCTCACCAAACCTTTGCGTTCCCTCACCAACCCTTTGCGTTCCCTCACCAAACCTTTGCATTCCCTCACCAAACCTTTGCGTTCCCTCACCAACCCTTTGCATTCTCTTACCAAACCTTTGCGTTCGTTCACTACTTCAGTCATTCAGTACAGTCATTCCAACCAGCTGTCAGCAATCAGTAATCAACAGGTCCACTCAATCAGCATGAGTAAGGCCTATAAATATACGCAGTTGACTCACCCAGAGTTCTCGACAGTTTTCAGCATCCCTCCACCACCCCATCTCCTCACACTTGCCTTGTTATCTTCCTAACCAGAGATACGGGGGGAGTACTCTGTGTTCGGGCCCAATTTCCGAGCTCGGAGCCCTCCCCCCGGACAGCACGCCAAATACGCATAACAATTTACTCTCTGATCATTTGTAAGTGTGAACTCGTGAAACCTTTGCATTCTCCCAAGAACCTTTGCGTTCCGTTGCCAAAACTTTGCGTTCCCCCGAAAACCTTTCGTTCACTAAGGCCGTGTGTCCACCAAAGCGTTTTTTTTCACGCGGCTGGCGTATTTTTTCAATTGTTTTCAATGGGAGCGCAGTGTTTTTAGAACGCCATGAGCGTAACGATGCGCTGACCATTTTTAGAACGCTGAAGCGCTGAGCGCTCTGCGGTTTTTACAGGTCGCCGAGAGTTGAAGAATGTTCAACTTTGGGTAAAACGCAGCGCTCATCACTGTCACTTTTTACCCAACCGTTTCCATATGAACGTCAAATGCAGCCCAAACTCACAGCATATGCTGAGATAGCATTTGTTAAACGAGCTGCTGCATCGAAGACCCGTCTACTCCGAGCCACAACACAAAATACTTGAAAACATTCTCATAAGATGTCAGGCCACTTCTTCATTTCATCCCCCACCACGGGTGTGATAAATATGAACCATTACGGTGTTTAACAGTGTTATGTGCGTGCTCCCTTAACATGGCTTCTTACCTACCGGCTAGCGAAACGGAAGTCTAACACATTAAAAGGAAGTACGTCATCATATTTACTTCCGCGTTGCAAAATAAGGTGGATAGAGCCAACTTACCTCTGTTCCACGGCAGTTTTTCCAGCATCCCTCCTCCACCACAACTCCTCAGTCTCAATTATTCCTATACCAGCCAAAGCGGAGTTCTCTGGGTTCGGGCCAAACTCAGAGCTCAGAGCCCTTTCCTCGGATAGCACCCCAAATATGCATATTTTATACTATATCTGATTATATTTAAATGTGAACTTGTGAATGTTATATTTCCTCCCAACTCATATTTTTCCATCACCATGTCCCCTTAGGGGCTCTGTAAAAAGCTGATTATCAGACTTCAGATATTTTAATTAGCTCATTGCTGCTTTTTGATCCCACTGCAGCTGCAGGCACATGCTGATGAGTGTCCTGAAGTGGAGACGGACTGCATTTATAAAAACTATGGCTGCACAGTCAGAGTAAGCACACATTCAAATTTAACACTGAAACAAGTGAAAGTGTCTTTTTATCAGTGTTGTCCTATTTAATGAACTAGGCTGCATTTCTCATAAGCATCGTGAGCTAAGTTGAATGCAGAGTCCATTGGTGGCAGTGGTTTTACGATCTACTTAGGCTTACGATGCTTTTGGGAAATGCTGCCCTGGTCGTTAAATACATAGGCTTTGGAGATCTCAGCTTTTGAACTCTGTCTTTCCTCCAGGATAAAAGAGGGAAAGTGCAAATTCATGAAAACACAGAGTTCACATATCATGTTCGGCTTGTCCTGGAAAGTAACACCAAACTTGAGAAACAGGTAGGAAATGTTTTTGCATGTCAATGCAAAATACAAAGTGAAAAAGAGAAATTCTGGTCCACATAATAACATCCGATCAAATGTTATAATAAAAGGGATAGAAACAAATGAATGAAAATGTGTGTTCTTTATAATATCATTACTTAAGATATGTTGAAACACATTGAGAATGCAGAGAATTACTTGTCTCTTGTTGCTTATTGCTTAATTACAAATCTTCAATATAATATAAAAATGGTCCGGGTTGTAGGTGGAACAGTTGCAGCAGGATATGATAGTCCAACAGGGGGCGCTGAAGGACAAAAGTCTTGTGGTCAGCAGTCTGGACAGGGATGTCACCATGTGTGACAGCACACTCACTACCTTACAGGTAAAGAAACCCTGAGGTCAGTCAAGCTACTAAGTACAAAACCGATGATTGTCCTGTAATTTTAGAATCCATAAAATTGAATGCCAAGTTAAAGCAACAGCTCACCAACCCCACCACCCAAGTTGACCTGGTATCTGAACATATAACAACAATAATTTTGTGTAAAAGTGTAAATTATTATTGTTATTTAGGAAATCAAGTAATCACCATTCATTATACATTAACTCATTATTGCCAGTATTTACTTTATTTGGTCATAGTAGGGATTAAGTTCACCAACTTCAATATTTAAATTCACATACTGAACATGCATACCTGTGGAGGAAGATGCTTTGGTATATGGCCAGAGTTTGCTGTATGATCTGTGTTTGTGTGGCAGAGGTCTGTGGAGGAGCAGAGAGTGCGGATCTGCAGTGTGCAGCGTGAACTGCGGGATTTGCGGGGCGTTCTGGGGTCTGAATTAAGCGAAGAGCTCCCCAGCCTTCGGGCATCACTGGACTCACTCAGACAGCAGGTGGCCGTCACAGAAAGCCTCAGGGAGCATCTGGGTAAGCCAAGTCTGATTGGCCACATGAATGTTGACTCTGTTTACTTGTAGAGAGCTACTGAACAAGATGGGTGAAACTTGAAATGCACTCTTCTACGTTTGTGAATGCAAAGGTTTTTGGCTTCACAAGTTCAGTGTCACACATTGTGTTCAAAATGCATGACCTTTACGTGGGTCAAAGAGATGGGACTTGACTAAGAGATTGTGTCTGGCTCCCGAACAACACTAAGAAGGCTGTTCCTGACTCTAAATTGCCCAAAGGTGTGAGTAACCCCTGTGATGCTAGAACAGGCTCCAACAACCCCATGACTCGACATAGGACAAGCAGTTTGGAAAATGGGTGTTGTGTTTTCAGTCTTATTGCAAGGGGAGATATAGTGGGCATTAGAGTAAACCAGGGGTGGCTAACCCAGCTCATAGAGGACTACCTTCCTGCAAACTTTAGTTCCAACACACCTGGCTGTTGTTTTCAAGTAATACTGAGCACTTTTGTTTGATTAGGGTTGGAAATAATGGCTTGTTTCCACCGAGCGGTAGAGTACAGTATGGTACGCAATTATTTCCGTTTCCACAACACTGTCAAAAGTTGTGAATGGTACCAAAATGCCGAACAGTACCGTACCACTTTTTCGGTACCCTTCCGTTGGGGTACCTAGCACAGTGGTAAGGTACCTAAAGGGTGGAGCTAGACTCACTGCAGAACGTTGATTGGTTGACAGAGAATCGTCACTTGCACGTGCTACAAGGGGAATGACAACATAAGAAGCGCCATTTTTTAATATACAGTTGAAATATAATACTACTGTTATTGTGTCACGAAATGTAGTTTTAAGAGTTTTCCGTCGAGAATGTAGTTGTTTAAAGCTCAAATCTGTGGTTTATTTATAAAGATTTATGAAAATTTGATCCAGGTTGTGAGATCCATTCCAGGCGATCACCGGGCGCTCGGCACTCATGTACCCCGCCTGGAACAGCCTTTCCTCGGCTAGTCGTTCTTTAGTTTGCCGCTGACTCTGACGTCTCTGTAGTGGTTAAACATGAGGTATAATTCGTCTTGTGTAGACCAAACGGGCGATCTTTGGTCTCGTGAATCTATCATTTGTTCCCTGGCCAGTTGTTTTGGCTGAGGGCTAAGTGAAGTTTCACAACTTTATATATTTAGGCTATTTAACTTTACCGTTGTAACGTCAGTTAAACTAGAGCGCTGACTTTGTACAAATGCACATATTACCTGGACCATATTAATATGTTTAATATTAACGTAAAATAGGCAGGGTTGTGTTTTATATTTCGTTTTGTTATAAATAGGCTAATGTTATACATGCAGTGAATATAATCAATACGCGTTGCCTGCACCACATCTGTGTGGCTATAATGTTTAAGATTTCTTTAAATGAAAATGAAAAGAGGCAGAGTGGTGTTTTAGAACATATTTCGTTTTATTGTTGCCTAAAATGTACATACAGAGATAACCGGAGTAGCAGAGCGAGCTAAGTGACGCTTTCAAGAACGCGCTGTTCCATTTGCAGAACTACCGGACTCGCGTCCTCGGGAGTCATTCTCCTGAGTCGGACTTGATAGGCTACACCACGCCTATCAAGTATGGTACTGCTGGCGGTGGAAACGCAAGCCGAATCAGGGTTTACCGTCCCGAATCGTACTGTACTGTACCGTACCGTACCGCTCGGTGGAAACGAGCCATAAGTTCTGCAGGTTGGTAGCACAAATGGTCCTCTATAGACAGCTTTACCTTTAGGCCAAAGGTCAGCTCATGTAGTTTTTACTGGTTTAGGCATTTGAAGGCTACTATTTTGCCCTTTTGTGGTTTACTGTTGTCGCAGTCAGGACCGGGTGAAGACAATCCGGCGCTCTGGGCAAAATAGGAATATGCCGCCCCTTACGTTCAAATTTTTAAGAGAAAAAGGCCAATTTATCACATATTGACCCCTACTGTTGACTTAAGACATGTGTAATGAATTAAAACAGTTGACCCACCATTTAAAAGACGACATTTCTTGCTTTGGCTACTGCGAACTCTTCAATTATCTTGGAGTAATCCAATTTGCGACAGATTTGGTGCTCAATTGAAATTTCGAAATGATCTTGTGACACTGGCTACGTCGTTTACATGCACAACTTTTGTTTCAATTGGACTGAATTCATTCTGATTGATGAATCCGAACGTAGTGTTTACATGAATGGTTTACATCGGGTTGATGTGTACACAAGCTTCAAATCTGAATAGATGTTTTGACATGCGCACACTGCACAAATATACAGTTTCCCGCTCTTTGAGCATAATAACTATTCTCCTACATTGGTTCTTTATTTATTTTATCCGTATCTGGTCATAATTTGGTGACAATGAGCATATGAACCGTTGTGCCGCTGAGTCTGAAACTGGTGGGCCGCTGTCCGGCTCCACTTCACAGACGCAGTGAAAGGAGAATTAAAGAATGACGGGACACTCATTTATACGACACTTTATTCAACAAGAAGAGCGGCTCGTTCCGCTCGTCATTCGTCATTAGGAATAAACCACCCCTTTCAATCCGATCGAAATTTCATTTGGATCGAGCTCAATCGAATCAATTAGTGTTTACATGAAGGCTTTATGGATTATTTGGTTGCATGTAAACGTAGCCATTGTCGATCACAGATAGTTCTTCACAAGTTTGAGATGCCCGTGCTCGTCATGGTGCGGCGCCCTCTAGTGTCTGGTGCCCTGGGCAATTGCCCAGTTTGCCCAGCGCTTCCACCAGCCCTGGTCGCAGTAATGCAAGAACTTTTAAAGGTGTTTTAAATTTTGTTCCTTGAGCCCTCCTTACTGCAAAGTTTAGCTCCAACCCTAATTAAACCTGATCAAGGACTTCAGGAGTACTAGAAACCCCCAGATAGGTCTGTTGAAACAGTTTGGAGTTAAATTCTGCAAGAAAGTGGCCCTCCAGGACCAGGACTGGACACCCCTGGTTAAAGCTAAGTTGTTATTTTTCAGTGAAACGCAAAATAAAGCAAACAGTCAGTTTGCATACCATGATAGTTAATTAGTTAATTAGTTAATTAGTTAATCGAATAGGGCTTATTACCAGTCTCACACCATACAATAATATCCAGATGTATCCTCTTTATAGAGCTGTAACAGTAGCTGTGTATGTGTTTGTGTCCCTCAGGTGCGTTAGAGCAGACGTGTCAACGTCATACACGTTTGTTAGACATCCACGTGGAACAGCTGCAGTGTAACGAGCAGCGTGTCCGCCAGCTTGAGTCCACCTCCTTTGATGGGAAGCTCATCTGGAAAGTGCGTGATTACTGGCACCGGAAAGAAGCTGGCATCGCCCTCAACTCCACCCCCTTCTACACCAGTCGCAGCGGCTACAAGCTTAGCCTGCGGGCTTACCTTGGCGGGGACAACTCAGGGAGAGGCACTCACATGTCGCTCTATGTCACAATAATGCGCGGAGACTTCGACTCCCTCTTACCATGGCCGTTTCGTCAGAACACAACGTTAACATTGCTGGATCAAAGCGGCACTAGGAACCACTTGAGCAGTACTTTCACCCCTGATTCCAGCGATAGCTTTCGCCGGCCAACATCTGATGCTAATGTGGCCACAGGATTCTCACGATTCATATCCCACAGTGATCTGGAGGTCCCTCGGAACGTCGTTTATCTGAGAGACGACACACTGTTCATCAAAGTAAAAGTGGACACAACTGGATTAGAGGACTTGTAGCGCTCCCAAAACAGTGTCCTGGAGTCACTGTAGCAGGATATAGCAGGATTCCTCAAATCCTACCCTGCTGAGTTCAGCTCAAACCCGGATAAAACTCACTTACCTGTAACTCTGAAGAGCTTGTTCAGGTGTCTTTAACTGCGTTTCCACCGCAGGAACTTCCCCCAGGAACTAGGGACTCTGTGGTGAGACTCGGTGTGTTTCGACCGCAGGGACCAGGGTCTAAAAATGTCCCCCTCAGAAAGTCCCTGCTCACGAGGTAGTACTTTTTCAAAGTTCAGCAACTTTCGGAGGTGGGAGTTGGGCGCTGAACTTGCTGATTGGTTGAGTCCATGCAGCATTTTCTTTCAACCACCATTTTTGTGCAGTGAGAGTTGTTTGCTATTCGAATCAAAACAAGGGAGTTTAAAAAATACGACTGGGATGAGCAGTCGCACGCAATCCTAAGTCACCGGACTAATTTGCCTAATCTTCACGGTACTTTAGACCGCAATGGAAACACAACAGCAACAGGTCTGGGGGGAAAAAGTTCCTTGGACAAATTGTTCCGGGCAATTTTGGTGGAAATTTGGCTTTTGATTAGCGTTGGATCTAAACTCTGCAGGACAGTGGCCCTCAAGGACCGGATATGAGGAATCCCTAGTGTCACATAATATTCGGGTGAAGACATTTGTTGTAGTAACACTGGTCATGTTTACATCCACAGATTTGAATCAGTCTAAATCATTTCAAATCAACTGAAGGTTCTGATTGTACTGCTCATATGTGCCATATTTATAAAAATATCAGTTTGCATGTGCATGAATGAAATTCTGGACATGAGAAGAGTATGAAGTGTTTCTAAAAGGCCCAAAGTATAATTGTTTATGGAGTTATGATGGCTACTGGTTATTTCCAGCCAAGATCCGTTTCTGCAGCGTGGGTCAGTGGCTGCTTGCTTAAGGGAGCTCATCTTGTCATAGTGATTGGTGCAGACCGTAGCGCACACGTCTGGAGACCCGGGTTTGATTCATACCTGGGTCATGTCTTGATCTCCTATCCCGATCTCTCTCCCCTGTTTCTCTGTCTCTACAACTTAAAAAAATTAAACATTGATGCATTGATGAATCATTCAATAAGGTCAATAACACACATTTAGAAAATAGGTTGAATTTTCATCTTTTTTACTTGCTTTTTCTCCCCTCTTTTGTGTCCTGAAAACAGCAATGCTGTAAATTATTGTTTTTGACTTACCACTTGAGTTAATAAAGAAAATCTGGACTCTTCAAGCATTGGTTCTTGATGCCTGCTGGACGCTATCGTTACAGCATTTGTTGTGGAAAAGGGGACAGCAGTTTTTTTTAAGCTCATTGGTCATGGCTGTTATTGTTTTCAAGTTAAAGTTAGTTCAGCTGACAGTATTTATAGCTAGTTGTCTGAATAGCTTGCTGGTTTAATAAGGCATCCCAGTGTATAACCGGCATGTTCTAACATATCTAAAAACATTTGCTTAGGAGACAAGACAAAGGAGACAAGAATCAGAAGCTAAGTGAACTCTTATGGAACATTTCTTGCCAAATAGGGAGTCCCTTCTCCCAACCAGTTCCTCACTCACTAAGCCATGTTAATTGTAGAGATGCACATACATGTGCTGTGTGGGTCTGTGCTCTTAACACATATGCAAGGTCATTTTGAATCAAATTACAAAATAAGTTTTCATTGCAACTATTTTTCCACTTAATGGATAGATCTTTCATTCCAATCATTAGACGCAATCGTTGGACATGCAATGACTTTTGTAATAACAATTCATATAAACATCTATTTGCAAACAAGTGTTACTTTACCTCTAGTGGACAAAAACTTGGACCTCTTCACTATTTTGATTCCTAGATTGATGATGGTTGTTGTTGTGCACCTCTGTTTTTTTTTTTATGTGTATTGTTATTTTACATTCGTTAACACTTTATTTTGATAGTAACTTTGAAATTATGTGTCAACTAATTGTCATTAGAGTATTACGTAGTAGACTGTCTGCTTATCTCTTTATTTTGATTCTCCTTCAACAGACATTCAACTAACTATTAGTAACTTTGCAACTACATGTCAACTTATTCTACTCACCCAAACCCTAACCTAACAGTATACTAATACTCTAACGATAGTTAGTTGACATGTAGTTGCATATTAATGAGAGTTCGTTGAGATTAAGTCACAAAGTTACGTATAGTTAGAAGAACGTCTAAAGTAAACTATTGAAATAAAGTGTAGCCTTACATTTATGTTTATTAGTAAAGTAATCCCTGTTATACGTTGCAGTTGTGATCAAAATACGAAATATATATTGTAATAAAGAGCAAGCACATTTTGAAAGCCCGGAATTCACACCTAGATCACGTGCACATATTGTGTGTATATTTTCTCAGAGCATGCAATCTTCATATCCATTTCCTCCCACAAATTTCTTCTCTACTTGTCCCCAGTAATGTACAGACCTGCATTGAAAGTGTTTGTACCCAACCCTCAAGCCTCAATGTGAAGTATGATACTGACACAACCGTATAAATAGGTACATTATTACAGGCAGGCAACATGACACCGGCATGGGTGCTCGTGCTTTGTGTGGTGGGTGACGGGACAATAGCCGCTCATATGACGATGAGCCCCACTTGCTATTCATAGATATTGTCTACAGCTACGTCTAGCTGTTGTCGACTGGAGACTATCGTACGTGTGCAAGCGTTTCAGATAAAACAGCTACAAAGATGTGGAAGAGAGAAAAAATGTGGATGATTAAGCGTAAGTCACATTTTGGATGCATGTAATGCCATTGCTTGTGATGGAGATGTAGTGATAAACATCAGAACTGAGTTAGTCCTTTAACCACTAATTTTAGACAAAAAAAGACACAAACAGAATCGTTGTGTGGAGGTATTTGAGACTTGATGTTTCATGTCTGATTTGTGTTTCAGCACCTACTGAGCACCCAAAGGAGTCGAAATACAGGCCTGTGCTGGAGGTATTCCCCTTCACAAACAAACACACCAAACCCATTTACACCCAGCTTGTGGAAAGTCCCGTACTCTTGTCTGTTTGCGGACGAGAGAAAAAAGAGTGCTGCCAGGCAGTTGCATTGTTCAGTGATCTTGAATGGATCGCCACAACCACGTCCTCTCTCTGCACAACCTTGACCATTTTTGGCAGGTTTGGGATGCAGTTTGGTTCACAACAAAGCAATGTTCATTTCTAATGCACAGTGAACACAGTTGCCATCAGCGTTATTTCAGTTTAGAACTACAATTAAAATCATTAAAAAAACAGTAACACTTTACTCAGAGCCTTTATGTATAATGCATTATAAAGGAATTCATAAAGAAAGTTATAATACAATATATCTTTACATGAAAAATTGTAACCAAAGATGAAATGCATTATAATATGCAGATTCCTTGTTACGTCTAAAATTGGTTGTTTGTCGTGTTTTTTTCAATGTATTAAACTTTCTGAAAGTGTAATAATGAATAGACAAGTATTATAATGTTTTAGCTACAATTATTAATTAAATCATAAAATGCATTAAAAGGTGCATTACAAGGTGTAATTAATGCATTAAAAATACTTTAATAATGCATTATAAATAAAGGCTTTAAGTAAATTTGTTACCAAAAAAAAATATTTTTGTTACTTTAAATAAAGCTGTTAACTGAAGTTAAATAAAATATATATTTTTTAAACTCTAGTTGTCAAGGCAACATTTGCCATTTTCATTTAGTTAGTATTTATATAGTAGTAGTTATAACTTGATAGTACAATAACTAAAGCTAAAACTGAAATAAAATTAATAAACCGTATAAAGCATCAAAATAAAGAGTTAGCAGACATTAAGCAGACAGTCTACTAATACTCTAATGATAGTTAGTTGACATGTAGTTGCAAAGATACTTATAGTCAAGTCACCTTCATTTATATAGCGCTTTTTACAATACAGATTGTTTCAAAGCAGCTTTACAGAGATAATAATGAATGGAACAGAAATTGTTTTGGCTGTACAGCAGCTCTAGAAGAAAGCTATAGTCCAGCTTACGTAAGTTTTTGATTGATTCATTTCTGTTGTAAAAACCATTAGTTATTAACTCAGGGGCCGCTTACACGACACCGCGTTCAACTCAAAACAGAAAACGAAATAGTTTTTTTGAAATAACTTTGAAACAAGTTTTGAAAATGATACCGTTATCATCTCCGTGTAAACTTCAAAAACGTGCATCTGTGAGAACGGTGACGGCATGCATATGGGTATTAAGTGTTAGGCTATGCACTTTTGAATGCGTATGTGCTCGGAGTTTCGGAGAGTCTAGTTGACACAATCTCTGCTGACAATTCAGGGATGCGTTGTGGTCGTGTCTAGGCGCAGGTCCACCATCTGATCTGGATACAGCCTGGATCCGGCTGACTACAGTAAACCTCAGAATAAACGGAAAGACTATCATTAGCGTAGATGCCATTCTTCTTATGATGTAACGAGTACATCAGGTGTTGTAGGAAGTGTTCCCGGTTCCGGCTGACCTAATTTATGCAGCCTAATAATCATTTAACTGATTTATATAATAGGAATGTATAATTTTCTATGTGTATGCCAGGTCAAAGAGATTTGTTTTTAGTCTAGATTTAAACTGACAGAGTGTGTCTGCTTCCCGGACAATGTTAGGAAGACTGTTCCAGAGTTTTGGTGCTAAATAGGAAAAGGATCTACCGCCTGCAGTCGATTTTGATATTCTAGGTATTATCAACTGGCCGGAACTTTGAGATCGTAATAGACGTGAAGGACTATAATGCGTTAAGAGCTCGCTCAAGTACTGCAGAGCTAAACCATTTAGTGCTTTGTAAGTAATCAGCAATATTTTTTAATTTAAATTTAAATAGGGAGCCAATGCAGTGTTGACAGAACCGGGCTAATATGGTCATACTTCCTGGTTCTGGTAAGAACTCGAGCTGCAGCGTTTTGGACCAGCTGTAGTTTGTTTATTAAGCGTGCAGGGCAACCACCCAGTAGAGCATTACAATAATCTAGCCTTGATGTCATGAACACATTAACACATTTTCTGCATTTGTCAATGAGAGCATATGAGGTAATTTAGATATATTTTTAAGATGGAAGAATGCAGTTTTATAGACACTAGAAACATGGCTTTCAATTGAAAGACTTGACAGAGCAGACATCAAGTGTTTGACAGTATTCTAGGTTAGTACGTGCAGAGGTTTTTTGTCCAATAATTAGAAAATCTGTTTTTCAGAAGTAGTAGGAAATTACTAGTCATCCAATTTTCTTTATATCAGCTATGCACTCCATAGTGAACCATCGATATTAAGTGTCACCCATCCTGCTTCTGTAGAAATGATATCAGTGCATGCATGAATAAATTTAAATATGTTAATAGCAATATCTTTGTGTTTTGCCCAGAGTTTAGTCCCCCGTGACCCTATGAGCAGGTTCAATCTGAAGAGAAGTTCCCCTAAAGATGAGTTCCCAAACCTGGACAGAAACCGCACCCTCATGGGCCGAATCCTCGACCTGCACATGTACACGCGACAGTTCAACCGGGCGACAGAAAGCGGGGTCATTTTTGATGATATCATACGCCCTGGACTCGAGGATCCGGGTGAGTTATTCTTTGACATTAACTGGATGAATTTTCAGAAATACTGTTTTTACACATTTCACACAAGCCGTCAATTCATAGAATGAGTCATAATCTCCACTGAACGGTTAGCAGGTTGCAGACTGCAGAGAAATGAAACCAGAAGCTCAACTAACACTTCTCTGAATGATTTATTCGAGCTATGGGAATAAAAAAGAGGTGCAAATACACAGATGACACATGATCCACTAAATCACAGGGTTAAGACTTTGAACATGTAATCATGTATTATTTAATTTTCCATTGATTTCTATTGTGTTTACATTACATGTAAATGTTCACTATTACCCTCACATAAATGTTTTTTTTTTTTCACATCTGAAGACATCATTACTATGTTTATTTAGTCCTTTGTCTCATGGGAACCCTTGTGAAAAAGAAGTACACTTAAGAATACTTTTAAAAAGAGTACTTATTACAGAAAGAGTAATAAGTACTGAAGAGACTCGAGTGAATATCAGGTCCTGGTCCATATATCTGTGTACCCCTGGGGTTTCATGAAGGTACTTCATGGTGTTTAAATTATGTGGACTTTTTAAAAATTATTATTATTGTTTGGGGTCCCTGTGAGGGAAAAGGTTGGCAATATTTTTAAGTTATGCATTTTCTGCCTTAAATAGAGTCACACCTTTCTCTCTGTATAAAAAATCAAATAAGAATAATTTACAAATATTAATCATGCTTTGCATTTGTAAACCCTGTCCTTTCATGTTGTATTTTAGATCTTGTGTGACTTTGTCTGACAGGACAGTCCGTAGGACCAAAAGCAGTCGGCTGTTTAGCTGGAGATGCTCAATCATATATCCTGTTCTGTGACTTTTTTGACCGTATTATCGAGTCTTACCACGCCTACAAGGTCACCACCGACACTGTACAAGAGAGCGACTTCAATTATGACAACCTGAAGGTACGAAGAAAAGAATAACTAGTAACATCTCTTAAATGTCTCAACAGTGAGGTTAAATGGAGACCAAATGCACACTTTTGCTAAAGTATCCTGATGTTTTACCTGAGAAAAAGACTTGTGTCTCCTCAAGAGTTTCAGAGATTTCAACCATGTCAAAGTGCAATGATAAGTCAGATATAAACTCTGCTATGCTATCCACTTGATTTTACAGCTCCATACTAGCTGTGCCAGCAATTTTACTCACATTTTATATAGTTTTAGGAGACGCTCCTCCATTAAGAATCTTTCCTCTCAGGGAAAATTTTTTGATTATACTATAGTCATGAGAGATAGTGCTAAATCTGTAGTGTCAGCATGCTGTGGAAGAGTAAAGTCTGTGTTTATGTGTGTAGGGAGGTGATGACTTTGACCAGGCATATGCTTTGAGTTGTGAGGTGACTGTGGGCCGCAGCATAGAGGATTACTCCTTCCCTACACACTGCAGCAGAGGGGAGCGCAGACAGCTCCTCACACTGGCCAAAACAGGTACTGCAGTTAAAACATGATCATGGGTCTACTAGGTGTGTCCAATCCTGTTCCTGGAGGGTCACTGTCCTGCAGAGTTTAGCTCCATACCCAATCAAACACACCTGAACCAGCTAATCAAAGTCTTACTCGGCATACTAGACACTCCCAGGCAGGTGTGTTGAGGCAAGTTGGAGCTAAACTGCAGGACAGTGGCCCTCCAGGAGCAGGTTCGGACACCCCTGACTTTATGCTAATTTATTACATAGCTCTGTGGAATACTTGGTTCTGATTGGTCAATCGCGCCATCCAGCTGTGTGTTATTCCTAGATAACAACTGCTAAAAAGACACAGGCTCATCCGGGTTACTGTAACAGTAAATGAAGAGATTATCGATCACAAGTTCAGTATGGTGTACCACAAGGCTCAGTACTAGGACCGCTGCTGTTCACTCTGTACATGCTACCCTTAGGAGATATCATTAGGAAGCATGGCATCAGTTTTCACTGTTATGCTGATGATACTCAGCTCTATATTTCTTTAAAACCTAACGAAACTTACCAATTCACAAAATTAACGGAATGCATAGCTGATATAAAAAATTGGATGACTAGTAATTTCCCACTACTAAATTCTGAAAAAACAGAGATTCTAATTATTGGACAAGAAACTTCCTCACGTAATAACCTAGAATACTGTCTAACACTTGATGGCTGCTCTGTCAAGTCTTCGTCATTGGTTAGGAACCTGGGTGTGCTCTTTGATACCAATCTCTCATTTGAAAGTCACGTGTCTAGTATCTGTAAAATCGCATTCTTCCATCTTAAAAATATATCTAAATTACATCATATGCTCTCAATGACAAATGTGGAACAGTTAGTTCATGCGTTCATGACCTCAAGGCTAGATTATTGTAATGCTCTACTGGGTGGTTGCCCTGCACGCTTAACAAACAAACTACAGCTGGTCCAAAACGGAGCAGCTCGAGTTCTTACCAGAACCAGGAAGTATGACCATATTAGCCCGGTTCTGTCAACACTGCATTGGCTGCCTATTAAATATCGTATACATTTTAAAATATTGCTGATTACTTACAAAGCACTAAATGGTTTAGCTCCGCAGTACTTGAGTGAGCTTTTAAAGCATTATAGTCCTTCACGTCTATTACGCTCTCGAAATTCCGGCCAGTTGATAATACCTAGAATATCAAAATCGACTGCTGGCGGTAGATCCTTTTCCTATTTAGCACCAAAACTTTGGAACAGTCTTCCTAACATTGTCCGGGAAGCAGACACACTCTGTCAGTTCAAAGCTAGACTAAAAACATCTCTTTGGCCTAACATACACATAACACACTATAGACTTCTATAATTCAATGTTAGGCTGCATAGATTAGATCAGCCGGAACCGGGAACACTTTCCCATAAATCCTGATGTACTCGAATGAGCGGCCGGAGCGCGTTAAGGGTTTTCTGTTAGAACGGTGTCGTCTTAGCGGCCCCTAAGTTAATAACTAATGATCGTTGCGACGGAAGTCAATCAATCAAAACTAACTTTAGCTGGACAATAACTTTATTCTAGAGCTGCTGTAAAGCCAAAACAATCTCTGTTACTTTAATTTCCTATTATCACTGTAAAGCTGCAATGAAACAATCTACATTGTTAAAAGCGCTATATAAATGAAGGTAACTTGACTTGACTTGACTTGAAGCCAGCGCTATACGCTTGCTAGGAACGATTTTTCTTCGTGGAAGTTTTGCATTTGGTGAGATAATAAAATATTAAAACTCAGTCGAATCAATATTTTGTGCACAATTATTTAATTATGCCATCCAGTATCGTGGCCTTGCTCTATCTTGTTTCACACAAACGCTCTGCTGCCATTTTGTGACTATTGTTTTGTAATTATAAGATATTAATTATAAGATAACAAACAGGTACAATTTTAAAACAGTTTACAGTTTTTTTCAATTGTTTACACGCAATTTTGAAAACCGGGTTCTTTTTTTCAAAATATAATCACAATTATCCAAACACCACACTCGATTTGCATAATTCCTAGATTGTTTGCAAAATGACACACTTCTCTCAAAACATACACACTTCAGTCAAAAGATATACACATATTTGTGAAAATGCTATTAGTTTTTTTATTTAACCAACACAGTCCTCAATGATCAGACACTATTGCAGCCAGTTTCACACGGCTGTGATAAATAAAAAACACATTTGAATTTTTTTTACATTTTTACATTTAGTAAAAAAAACTATTTTTAGGAAATAGCATGTGCTAGATTTTTGGCCAGACATTGTTATGTAAGTGATAATTTAGATGAAAAAAAAAAAATAGTGACAAACCCACAACATTCTTCATGATTAGTTTGAGATATAGGGAGAATGTACACAAATAGGCCTACTATAAACTTGCCAAGCACTGCACAACACTGATTTCTGCAGACTCATATTTCAAGTATTTATTTACACTATTTCTTACCATAATCAGTTACAGTAATCAACCAACAAAGAAATCAATGAAAAAAATAAAATCTGTAGACAAATAAAAATTACTGCATGAAGTACATACACTTTGACTCTGAAGAAAAACTACTGTAAAAGCAACAAGAAGTATCAACCAGAGATTTAGTTGATCTCTTTGTCCAGCTTCCATCAGTGTCAGTCCATGGTTGATAACACGGTCAATAAGTGTTGCACGGATTTCTTGAGTCAAATTTGGTCCTCGTCTTCTTTGTTCAGATTCTATCAACTCTTCAAGTCCTTCTCTACCTCTTCCTAGGCCTCTTCCTCTATCTCCTTCTTCTGCTCTTCCTCTATCTCCTTCTTCTCCTCTTCCTCTACCTGGGCCTCCTCCTCTACCTCCTCCTTCTCCTCTTCCTCTACCTGCATGGGCCTCCTCCTCTACCTCCTTCTCCTCTTCCTTTACCTGGGCCTCCTCCTCTATCTCCTTCTCCTCCTCCTCTACCTCCTTCTCCTCCTCCTCTACCTCCTTCACCTCCTCCTCTACATCCTTCTCCTCCTCCTCTACCTCCTTCACCTCTTCCTCTACCTCCTTCTCCTCCTCCTCTACCTCCTTCTCCTCTACCTCCTTTTCCTCTTCCTTTATCTGGGCCTCCTCCTCTACCTCCTTCTCCTCCTCCTCTACCTCCTTCTCCTCCTCCTCTACCTCCTTCACCTCCTCCTCTACCTCCTTCACCTCCTCCTCTACCTCCTTCTCCTCCTCCTCTACCTCCTTCACCTCCTCCTCTACCTCCTTCTCCTCCTCCTCTACCTCCTTCACCTCTTCCTCTACCTCCTTCTCCTCCTCCTCTATCTCCTTCTCCTCCTCCTCTACCTCCTTCTCCTCCTCCTCTACCTCCTTCTCCTCCTCCTCTACCTCCTTCTCCTCTTCCTTTACCTGGGCCTCCTCCTCTACCTGCTTCTCCTCCTCCTCTACCTCCTTCTCCTCCTCCTCTACCTCCTTCACCTCCTCCTCCTCTTCCTCTACCTCCTTCTCCTCCTCCTCTACCTCCTTCACCTCTTCCTCTACCTCCTTCTCCTCCTCCTCTACCTCCTTCACCTCTTCCTCTACCTCATTCTCCTCCTCCTCTACCTCCTTCACCTCCTCCTCTACCTCCTTCACCTCCTCCTCTACCTCCTTCTCCTCCTCCTCTACCTCCTTCTCCTCCTCCTCTACCTCCTTCTCCTCCTCCTCTACCTCCTTCTCCTCCTCCTCTACCTCCTTCACCTCTTCCTCTACCTCCTTCTCCTCCTCCTCTACCTCCTTCTCCTCTACCTCCTTTTCCTCTTCCTTTATCTGGGCCTCCTCCTCTACCTCCTTCTCCTCCTCCTCTACCTCCTTCTCCTCCTCCTCTACCTCCATCACCTCCTCCTCTACCTCCTTCACCTCCTCCTCTACCTCCTTCTCCTCCTCCTCTACCTCCTTCACCTCCTCCTCTACCTCCTTCTCCTCCTCCTCTACCTCCTTCACCTCTTCCTCTACCTCCTTCTCCTCCTCCTCTACCTCCTTCTCCTCTACCTCCTTTTCCTCTTCCTTTATCTGGGCCTCCTCCTCTACCTCCTTCTCCTCCTCCTCTACCTCCTTCTCCTCCTCCTCCTCTACTTCCTCCTCCTCTACCTCCTTCACCTCTTCCTCTACCTCCTTCTCCTCATCCTCTACCTCCTTCATCTCCTCTTTGAGCTCCCCCTCTTATTCTCACTCTTCTTCTTCTAGCTCCTTCCATTTTTGTTGAAGACAGGTGAACTCACCTGCTGCCTTTTATAGCACACCTGAGTGCTGCGTTTTCAAATTAGCACACGTGTGCTTCCACACCTGGTGGATGTGCATATCCAATTCATTCATTAGTGTGGTCAATGGCAAACCGGGGCTTTGTAATGACAAGGAAGTAACCTCACAATCCTTAACTGTGTCTAAGGTGTGAAAATGTGTGTAGAGTTTTACAAATTACTGTGTGTAATGTTTTGCAAAAAGGGTGAAGCTGACAACGTGCTTACAATTGTGCAAATCTAGGCTGGTGTTTTGCTCCTTGAGTGTAAGGTTTTGCTAATAGTGGGAAAGTTTTAATTTTAGTGTGTAAGCAATTGAAAAAAACTGTAATGTGAAATCAATATTTTTTATCTCCATAATTATGTGGTGAAATGCTGTGTAATAAGTTGTCTGACTGTATACCGTATCTCTTAAATGTCCGTCTAGTTTGAATTGCCGCGTTAGCAACTGCTCTCTCCGCGGAAGCTTTGCGTTTAAAGACCTAATAAAATATTTAGACTCAGATCAATATTTTGTCTAATTATTTACTTACGTGGCAAGTAAGTAGCTGTGTAATAAGCAGGATGATGTAGATCCAGCCGGTTGTTCTCTCAAAATAACCCCCTTCAGGCTAACGCAAGACCCCTCCGCTTCGCTTTGGGGTCCTCATCACCCTGTCAGGGGTTTATTCTGAGATAACAACCGGCTGGATGTACATTATCCCTTACTTCACTTGTTTTGTAGCTTTGGAGCAGTTGGCTGAGGATCTGCCAGGAAAGCTTTACTCCATAGATGAACTCAGCCATGAGACTGAAGACCGAGGGGTTGTGATGGACGCTCCACCATCTTTTCTGATGAAGATCGGTGTGGCTCGTGACTGGCCTGATGCGAGGGCTCTGTGGTTGGTTAGGGTTCATAAATTGTGGTTAAATAATGTTAACCATTTCGCAATTTTTGCTTATATGTTTTTGCCTCCAATCAGGTTGAGCAAGGACGGGACCCTGGCTGTCTGGGTTAACATGGAAGACCATCTGAAACTAGTGTCTTATAGAAGTGATGCTTGCTTACAAGAAGCATTTAAAACTATCTGCATCAATGTGTTGAAGGTTTATATCAATCGACTACCTTAAACAATATCATGTTGCCATGTTGGTAACACTTTACTTGAAGGGGTGTTCATAAGACTGACATGACACCTTCATAATCATGACATGACACATGTCATGAATATGAAGGAGGTTTCATGCATGTTTATGACAACTGTCATTAAGTGTCATCCGCTCAATTATGACATTTTTAATGCAAATATGACATTGTTTGAGATGTCTTTCTTATGACATGACAAACCAATACATCATAACCTGTCAGTGTCTTTGTCATGACAACTTGACATTACTAAGACAACACAACCTGTCATAAATATGTCATAAACATGACATTGCAGATTAATGTTTATGACATATTTATGACAATTTATGTTGTTTTGGTAATGTCAAATTGTCATTACCAAGACACTGACAGGTTATGATGTATTGGTTTATGTCAAGTTGTCATAACAAAGACATCTCAAACAATGTCATATTTGCAGTAAACATGTCATAATTGAGCGAATGACACTTAATGACAGTTGTCATAAACATGCATAAACCCTCCTTCATATTCATGACATGTGTCGTGATTATGATGTCATGTCAGTCTTATGCACACCCCTTCAAGTAAAGTGTTACCGATATGGGTTCTATGAGAAGACAAAAGGTCTTAATATTGAACCCTGAGGCATGCCATATTCTATATAGTCTATGCTGCGCACACCAACAATCTAAAATGTGTGTTTTTTTAGATGGAGGCAGTATATAATAAACGAAGACACCCATTTATCTGGAAGCCTCACCTGGGCTGGGTGATCAGCTCTCCTGCAGAGGTGGGCACAGGCCTGAAGGCAAGTGTCACAGTGAAACTGCTACATCTCGCAGAGAACAAACGCATGGATGACATCTTGGACAGACTACGACTGCAGATGGAAGCAACAAGTATGGCAAAACTCATTCGTGTAAAATCATACATGATATCAGCCACAGTCTAACATAAAAATGTAATTAGGCTGCATTCAAAAATGTGACTAGTTCCCTAATATATAGTAGGCGAAAACGGTGTGTAAAAATAATAGGGTAACACTTTACAATAAGGTTCATTAGTGAACATGAACTAAGAATGAACAGCTTTTATTAATCTTAGTTTCAACATTTACTAATACATTATTAAAATCAAAGGTTGTATTTGTTAACATTAGTTAATGCACTGTGAACTTACATGAGCAAACTATGAACAGCTGTATTTTTATTAACTAACATTAACAAGGATTAATAAATACTGTAACAAATGTAGTGCTCATTGTTAGTTAATACATTAACTAATGTTAACTTAATAATGAACCTTATTGTAAAGTGTTACCAAGAAAAGTAAGTCTGAATTTGCAGTACTCGTAAAAGAGTAGTCAAAAAGTTCCCGGATGACCAAATACTTCCGGCAAGATTCTGAAATGCGCAATCTACTATAATAATAGACACTTAGATAATAGACAATACACAGTAATAGACACTTTACTATCCCATGAGGCAACAGCAGACGGGTTGTGAACGGCAGTGAAGCGACTAATGCTGGTAGAACGTGGCGGATGCATCACGTCCAGATTACATTCATATTATATAGGCCATACTTTAGTACTTACTCTAAAGATGTACCTACTGAGAGAAAATGTGTTTTTGGATGCAGCTTTACTTGTCTTCTGCTATAGCACTCCCATGGAACATTGTAAAAGGTTGTGAAATTTAGGACACTAATCGGGGTTGATCTCAGCATTCCTGGGGTATCTCAAATGTTCTAGTGCCACAAACAGTCCAAAACATTTTTAATAACTTTTGAACAAAATGGTATAGAAGCATTTTCGCCCTGTCTTCTTGGCCATGTCGAGCTCAGTGTACTCAGTGGTTTCAATGTCCACCATTCCTTCTTCAAATTCAATGCAACATTAATCAATTTCTGCCCAGGTGATATTCACACCAAGCTTGTAAAACAAAACCATTTGTTAATCAAAGCTCCACGAAGATGATGGCAAGAACAACAAATATTTTAATGTGATGTATAAATGAGAATAAAGCTGCCACTGTTATATTTGCATGATTGATCTACTAACCTGATTGTTTAAATAAATAAAAAAACGAACTACTCTCCTCAACTACTCTAAACAAACTTAAACTGTTGCATTGTTTTTAATACACAGGCTGTCCAGGCGTCTACAAAATCAGCAACCTGCAGACCATTGGGTTTACTGAAGTGTGGCTGACCCAGCTAGTGGTGGACGGGGTCAAACTCCTCATCCGAATGGAGAAAAGACTGGAGAACAACAGCGGCATTGATGACCTGGTGCCGACTCGGAAGTGAAGGATTGTGTCGCTCCATCGGGAGGATTGTGTTGAGAGCTGAAGTGCCATTTCTCTGAGGACAAGTCTGCCGTTCTCACCAATACTAGGATTGAAAAGGGACTTTGTTTGTAAAATATTTTTTGAAGTTAGTGGTTTATTCGCCTATGGTTTCTATCATTAAGGGTGAATCACGAAAAAACACCCTGGTAATATTTCACCCAATTCTACATTACACCCACACATATTTTCATGAAAATGTCCAAATTTTCCGTAAAATGCGATTTCTTTCTTTCTTTCGATTTTGGGCTGAAATATGAAAAGGGAATTTCTTTGTACTGTTAATGAAATTCACCCTACATACATAATTTTTGTTGCATTTGAGTTTACAGACAAGAATATTTACTATATCATAAACATAGATGATCATGTGCAAAACACAAGAACAAAATGTTCGGTTTTCCTTCAAGAACAACAAATTACTTGATATAATTACTGCAATGACGTTAGTGGGGGGGAAAAAAAGGACACGACACATTTTAGCTCAAAGACTCATTTCAAGTAAGCTTTAATGTGCTCCAGTGGGACTGAGGTCGAACCGCAGCGGCCCAAGGGATTTTCCGCAGAAATGTACAGTACAATGTCGAGAGAATAAATGGGAAAAGTGTGTGGAAGGACGAAATGTGTTGAAGAGTTAATTGCATTTTTGTTGGAGATCCTCAGCCTTCAGCTTCCTTCCCAAAGAGTTTCGTTTTGAAAAAAAGAAAAGAAATTTGTCCTGGAAATGTACCGTCACAAAGTGGAACATCACAGTTGACATTCGAACATTCAATGCCTCTCTGAGCTTTAATCACAGCTTTACCCTTATCATATGTTTAGTCACTAGTCCTTTTCCTCACACTACGGTAACTCGACCTCATCTTCCCTCAAAAGTGTGCAGTCACAACCTCTTTAATCAGCATTACAGTAATACAACATAGACAGCATTGCACATTTAACCTTCAATACTTCAGTACAAAAGAACTAGTAGAAAGTACCAGTACGAGTGGTTGTAATCCATCATTATCATCATCATCATCATCATCTTCATCACCACTTAATACAAAACAAATTACATAAAAAAAAAAAAAGTCATGCATTCTCTGGATGAACAGTTTCTACAGGTAATAAAACAAGGCATAAAATGGCTTAATAAATAAATTTCTTGTAGTTGTTAGTTGAAGCTTTTCACGTTCTGGATTCTGACAGTGTTGCTGAACTGGCTCACTCTCGCTCCACACACACACACACACACACTGCAGTGTTTCTGATGATGTTAGTCTCAGTGTGTGTTCTCTAAGGAATGTTAATGTAGACGCTCGTGTGCTATGATCTGTACATCCAAAGCATCCGCATCTGGGAGATACACTAAACACTTCATCCTCTGATGTTACCATCGCATCTAATTCTCACTCGGAATTAAAAGGATAATTCACCCAAAATGAAAGTTCAGTCATTATTTGCTTACCCTCATGTCCTTCCGTGTATGTTGTTATTTCTCCAGAGAATACAAAACGCAGCACATTTTCAGTCACAACTTACAATTTTGGATTGATACACAAAGTAATGCATGGCTATTGTGTGGAACTTTATGGTGGTGTTTTTATGTCATTTTTGGTGCTGGTCATTATGGAACAATTCTTTAAAATGTTCTTCTTTCATGAAAAATAACAGCATACGGGCTTGATCGGATGAGGGTGAGAAAATAATAGAATTTCCATTGTTGCATACACAAAAGTTGAGAACATATAAAAGAACTATTAAAACTGGGTGGTGTCAGTCTAAAAAAACAAGGGGAAAAGCAACAAACTAAACAAGTATGACACATTGAACATAATTTTTCTGTACAGAGCTCAATAGTGACTATACAACACCTCCACATAAGTAGGCTGAAAGTCTTGTTTTATACAACTCTATGATCAATTCAATACAACAAAAACATTCTAAATCTGAACTGTACATGTGGAAAAAGTCGGTTTGAAGTTCGTTACGATAATTAGCTCGACAGATTTTCTGTCCTGCCGACCCTGAAAGGGTATCGATATTATTGCAAGATGGTTGTTTTAACCAGGCGTATAATGCTAGAGGTCATGAAGATCGGGGCTAGAGCGTTTTCTCATCTTTTTGCATTCATATTTTTTGTCTCCACTAAACATTACAGCAGTAGCGTACAGAAGCAGGAACTCAAAAATGGCGCTCAAACTTCCTGGCGAAACTCCTTTTTAGTGTCATATTTTTCGAACCCTTCTCTTACAGCTTGAGCTCATTGGCAATTTTGGAAGCGATGTTCTTGAAGGCGATGGAGGTCCCCGATATGCGCTTGAAGCGGACCCCGTTGAGGGACAGGCGGGGCAGTTTGCAGACCTCCATCTCCCACTGGACGAGGCTGTCCTGCCGCGCGTCTCCGTGAACGCAGAAGAGCAAGAAGCGCTCGCGCTGCTCGTAGTCGCAGTTGTTGGCGTCCAGCACCTTGCGGATCTCTCTCATCATGTCTCCCGGCTCCATGGACGAGGTGGTCTTCATGCTCCAGGTGAAGCGCAGCGACCTCGGCTTGGAGTCGCGACCCTCCTCCTTGGGTTCTCCGGATCCGCTCCTGAGGACAAACACAGAAGCGTTCAGAGTGTCAGGTTTATCTTCATCACGGACACTACCCAGACGGCAACAGTGTCGGCCCACATCCGGTACACACGGATTCCTCACGGCCCGGATGTTGCTGTCTGGGTGAACCATGAGGTCTGCTAATCGAGTTAAGACCAGCGGTTGGTTGCATAAACTAGTCTTAAAAGTTAGTCATCTCAAGGTTTTCATCAAGACTGCCCCTAACTTTGAAGTCAGTTACATAAATTGGTAAATTGGTCTAATTAAAATTGGGAAAGCAAGACTGATTAGCCCTTGGTTACCTGCTAATTGGTCAAACTAGTTCTTAAGACAGTCTTATCATAGTGGCTAAGTGTATGCAACTGGCGCCAGGTCACACCAAGAACAACAGCTGGAAAGATTTGCTAACTATATTAGCGTCCACACCTGCAGACGATCTCGCTCTATTTATTCTAAGCGTTCGCTGCGGTTTTGTCGCCTGTCACTTTAAATGCTCAAGCTCTCTAAAGGCGGATCGATTCTGATTGGCTGTCAATGTTTTTTATCTTTCATCAGCTAGAAAAAAATCATTCTGAAAGTGATTCACGTTATCGTTATAGTTGTGTTGTAGACTCAATCGTTATAGTTATATAGTTAGAGTTTTAACCCTCTGGGGTCCTTCATTTCAGAGTCACACTCAGGACCTTTCGGTCCAAATGGTCCGGAAGGGTGGGATTAATATATATATTTTTAAAAAATCATCTTTTTTTTTTTACTTTTTTTTTTATAATATTTTTTCTTTTCTTTTTTGGTGTTTTGAGATAATTTTATGATTTATAACTAATATTTATGCAATAATTATGACCCATTTTTTCCCATTGAATATAATAGATTTTTTTATTTTTTATTTAAAGCTGTATTTCATTTTAGAGTCAAGCCTAGGCCTCATGAAAGCAATTTTTGAAATGAGATGGATGCCATCTGGTGGACAAACTGAGCATTTTAAAAATTCAAAACACATTTGTAATCTGAATTTATTAGTGTTTATGTGTATAAAAGTGTGTTTGTGTGTGTGTGTGGCTGTGTCTGTTTTGCACTCTTGATGTTTTATAGATTCACCCCTTCACTGTTGTGTGTTTTTTTTTGGATCGTGGCTGATTTGTAGATTGTACGCACAAAAAAAACTGTATTTTCACATTTTTACCAATTTCCCATTCATTTCCTATGCGGGTCCATTTGGACCCGAAGGTCCTGAGTGTGACTATTTTTTTTACATATACCAAGTACCAACAAAGTCACCAAATTTCGGACCATTCCGAGGAAAAATATTTAAATGCTTCGGGTCCATTTGAACCGAAGGACCCCTCAATAATCGTTCAAATATACTAATAGTGAAGTGTACTTAAACTCATTGACAGCCAATCAGAATCCACCCGACTTCAAAATGTTCAAGGATTAAAGCAGGCGACGACAATATTGCAGCGAACGCTCATAGTAGAAGGACTGTTATCGTGCGTTAGTTTGTACGCTACAATAGTTATCATTATTGGTGTGAACACAATCAACGCTATTATTCGTTCACGCCAAGGACGATATTAATATAAAGCTTTAATAATCGTTCTAATTATGAGAAGAGGGAAGTCACATCACAACTACAGTATAATGATAACGACAGAGAAACGGGAATCACTGTCAGAGCAAATCTTTTGCAACTGATTAACAATTAAATCATTGACAGCCAATCAGAACCCGCCGCACTTTAAAGAGCTTGAGTATATAAGGCGGCACGCAACTTAACGGCAATGCTCTAATATAAAAATCTGTTGGTTTGTTTGATAATGTAATTATGATATAAATATCGTTATTGGTGCAAACAGACCTTTAAGGGCCACCGTTCACAGCAAGGATGATGACTATAAAGTTATCATAATCATTCTAAGCCTATGAGAATAGGGAAGTGAACGACCACTGTAATGATAATGGTATCATTGGAGTCACTTTCAGCCAGATTTAACTCTTTCCCCTCCGCGGTTTATAAGAGAGTCCTTGCAGTCGTTTCCTCTTCATGGGTCGACATGTCCTTTGCAGATTTGATTGATATGCTGTTCAATGTTTGCTGATCGCTTTAGCTTACGCTTCTATGGCTTGTTTGTGGATCCGCAGATTCTGTATTTCAGAAGATGTGTAACAGCGCTCCCTACCGCGTAAACATGGATGGGAAGAGTTAAAGAGCTCAAGCTTATAAATCTCCATATGTAATAACTAGTGCATAAGAAGCAGAATGTTCTCGTCTGTCGGTGTGGCTGGTAATATATTGTAACAGTTGTCTTTATATAAGTGTTCTTGGTTTGAACAGGACTTCACAAAAATGAATAAGGTGCATGGGGGAAAAAATCAGGTGCCAATAGAGCTAAAGCATAACATACAAATTAGGCACACGATATATAATGTATATGTTCGGACGACTGCTTCTGCTTTTTTGAGGTACTAATATGTCCAGTACCGGTACTATAAATGGACTGGCAAATGAATATGGTTGTTTAGAGTGTTCAAATCTACATTAGAAAGACAGAAGACAGTTCGCATTGCTTGGAAAACATGCAAAACACACATACAATCAGAAATCTCACACACACACACAAACACTGCACAGTCGTCACCTCAACACTTGGGATCAACGCTGGCTCTGGTGGCCTGGCCTGAGGGGGCAGCAACACATGCCCCACAAGCAACAGTTTCACACCAGACACAGTCTAAAGGAATCAGGGGATCAGAGGAAACCTCACCTCAGACTGTACGCCCGACCGCGGGCCTCTCCTTCACTGGGCAACCTTGGGAAATATCAGAGGTCATATTGAGAAAGCAGTGGACAACTAAACTCTTAAACCATAGCTTAGTATAAATCAGCTGTTCTGAAAGAAACAACACAACAGATCCAGATTTAAGGCCTGTTCACACCAAAAACCATAACTATAGCGATAACTATATCAGCGTCCACACCAGAAGACATTGTGTCTTACATGAGAAGCGTGAGCTGCATTTATATCGGTTGCCACTGTGCTTTTTGATTGGCTGTCAATGTTTTTATCGTTCATCAGTACAAACAGTGGTCAACTAAGGGGACGTTTACACGACAGCGATGTGCCAAAAAACGCACAAGTTTTTCCGTTGTATTTTTCATGTACAGACGCCAATATTGTCAAAGCGATCCCCGTTCACACGACTGCGTGAAACTGACCGAAACGCTGTATTATCCATGCCAGGCCAGTAGGTGGCGATGTCACTGTAAAAACCACTACGTGCCTATAGACTGAACATGTAACGTTAATACACAACATCGTCTGAATAACGCTGATAACGGTCCTGTTTGCAAAAGTTTGTGTTTTCAGGCCCCCAAACGCCAACGACGAGTCAATGAACGGCCGAAACGCATAAAGGGCCCTATCTTGCACCCGACGCAAATGACTTTGTACACTGACGCATGTATCATTCCTACTTTGCACCCGCGCAAAGCGGACTTTTCCCTCCACAGACACACGTCGGTTAACTAAGAAATACACTTGCGCTCCCCGGGGCGGTTCAGCGCAAAGAGGAGGCGTGTTCCGGCGCAAACTTTCCCTCATGCTATTTTGCTGTTCTATAAAACAATTGCGCCACTGACCAGAAAAAAAGTAGTCTAAAGTCAGTAGCGCGTTGCGCGTTATTCATTATGCTATTTTAAGGGCGCATGCTTGGCCATAATCAATGTAGCGTGTGCACAATGCGCATACACTTTGATTCTCTCATCTAAGCAGCAGTTTTCATTTTTGCAAATCATACATTATTACGATAGATAGATAGATAGATAGATAGATAGATAGATAGATAGATAGATAGATAGATAGATAGATAGATAGATAGATAGATAGATAGATAGATAGATAGATAGATAGATAGATAATTAATTTGGGTGGGTTTCTCCATCCCCAATGTCATTTCTCTGTGTTTTACGGCCCTGACGAGAACGTTGCTCTCCTCGGCTATGAACCGCTCCTGGCGCGCGCCTGGCAAATCCGCCGTTATAATAGGAATCCGCTTTAGAACAAGCGCGCCTGCTCTTAAAGGGAATGTGAGATGACGCTCTGATTGGTTTATTTCACGTTACGCCCAAACCACACCTATGAATAATGAAGCTATTTCAGACCAACCCCTTTTAGATTTGCGCCAGGCGCAAGAGGCATTTATCCCTCCGTGAAAATAACAAACAGCGCCGGGATCCGCCCACAAAGTTACTTGCGCTTTGACACTTGCGTTTCAGATCGTTAAAATAGGGCCCAAAAGGTTTCAGTGTTTAGCTCAAGCATTCAGGATTGCTCTGATCACGACAGTAATGCTATCTATCAGGATGTGCTAGCAGTGCCACACTGAGGTGAGGTTAAGGGTTTAGAGTCAGGTTAAGGGTTAGTATTTGTTTTAGCGTTTTGTAGGCAGTTGGCATTGTGATTGACAATCTTTAGACTTTAGACAGTACCGTTCTTCTGTCGTTATTGTTATAGCCGTTGTTCAGACGTCACTGTTTTCTTACAATGAGCAAATTTACATGCAACTCACAAAAATCAGCTTATTGATTTACCCGGGATGAGAACACAATTTTATGCTTTTTCGAAGTAGTCTGGGTTTGCGATATAATTACGGTCGCTCGCAGGTTCTGTCGTTATCAGCATAGTTCAACGAGTCGCTGTTTCATTCGCAAACAGCGTCGCAGAGTTGAGTGTTTGAGCGACAGCTCTCGAGCTCTCGGTTACAAGCAGAGTTTCTAGTTTGCATGACATGTGGACTCAATAATCCTTATCTTGAGCAAAATAAGCAACCTGACATTCAGTACAATCTGTATCTTTTATTCAGAATCTTTTATCATGTGAAAAGTGATTGCAACGCTATAGTTAAAGTTGTGGAGTAGACTCTGCTATTCTCTTACAGTGAGAACATCTTCATGGTTATAGTTATCATCCTTCATGTGAACAGACCTTTAGACTTACAAACTAGATTACTTGGCGGAAGGTTTATTCAGATTTATACGAACACATCCTGCTGTTGATGGTTTCATCATGTTGGTGTTTTTATGAAAGCCATGAACCGTGTGTTACAGTGGTTTTACCACACTTCAGCGGATTGCTTGTCATGCCATTTCTAAACTGTGGGAAAATCACTGTAACACGGCCTCTTATTCCTTCATTACATCATTCGGTAACACTTTACTTGAAGGGGTGTTCATAAGACTGACATGACACATGTCATGAATATGAAGAAGGGATTATGCACGTCTATGACAACTGTCATTAAGTGTCATTCGCTCAATTATGACATTTTTAAAGCAAATATGACATTGTTTGAGATGTCTTTGTTATGACAACTTGACATAAACCAATACATCATAACCTGTCAGTGTCTTTGTCATGACAACTTGACATTCCTAAGACAACACAACCTGTCATAAGTATGTCATAAACATGACATAGCAGATTAATTATCAAACTTAAGAAAGCACTTAGCTTTATGGGTTAAGATTACATTAAACTGTCAGTGGTTGGTTTTGACATTGGCTGTCATGAGGCCATTATAACTGTGTCATGAATATTTTTCATATAAGTGCTTTCTTAAGTTTAATAATTAATCTGCTATGTCATGTTTATGACATATTTATGACAGGTTATGATGTATTGGTTTATGTCAAGTTGTCATAACAAAGACATCTCAAACAATGACATATTTGCATAAAAAATGTCATAATTGAGCGAATGACACTTAATGACAGTTGTTATAAACATGCATAAAATGTGCCAAGTCAGTCTTATGCACACCCCTTCAAGTAAAGTGTTACCATCATTCTTACAGTAGAACAGAATTAAGCAAAATGTGGGTTTGAAAGGCGGTGGACGGAGGCAAAGGACAAACTTTCTTTTGACCAGTAAAATACATTTCAAATGGAGGAAGGAGAAAAGGAACTGGATCACTACAAGACCATCAGCATTCAACATGTTCAGCAAAACTACAGCGAACACTTCACAGGTAAAGTCTGAGGACACACGGGTGGGGGAAGTGTCATCATCATCATCATCATCAGTCTGCAGGCCGTGCAAACACTCACAGAGGTGACGGATGCACAGGTCATTAGTAAGAAACACACGGGTCGAGTCTAGGGGGTGTGAGGACACAGTTCATGAGCAAGTCTGAGGGGAAAGGTCAAACTATTGAGCCCTACCTCGCCGTTCTGAAAGACAGCGTTCTACAACACAAACAAACAAACAAACAGTGTATCAAGCCAAACCCAACACTGTGCATTTCCCAACCAGCTGACGGGGTGGAGTGTGTACCTCCTGCAGGCCGACAGTAGGGGGCGACTCTGAGAGACATCTGATAAAGATCCGGCTCACTTTACCCAGTGCCCTTCACTGACAGAGTCACTGCATGCTCAGCACTGCACGCGTGTGTGTGTGTGTGTGTGTGTGTGTGTGTGGGCCACCTGGCTCGCTCTCCTCCAGACACACACTGCAGCAGGGCTGGGCATTGACACAAATGTCACGATTCGATCTTCGATTCACAAGCGATTCATTTCAAATTTTTGATTAAATTTGACTTGATATCTATTCTTTTGGATGCATATCAGTTACAGTACGTACATTTTTTTAAGAAAAAAAAACTAATTTGTTTACAAACATTTAAATTGCACATAAGGCAGTTTTATAGTAATAATAATATTGATGATGTTATAATCATCACTTTTTAATGACATTATTATGTTTCAATTCGTTTTCTGAAATATAAACATTTAAACACTGGCTATCATAAAAACTGATATATTAAATATTAAAAAAAACTAAAAGTTAAAAAAAGATGCATATGTAATATAGTGCATTTATTTATCACAATGCTCCTCTCTAGAGTTATGTTATTCTGCTGTAGAAATCGTATTATTTTTTTCAGGATTCTTCAATGAACAGAAAGTTCAAAAGAACAGAATTTATTTGAAATAAAAAGCTTTTTTTAACAATGTAAAAGTCTTTACTTTAATGCACCAATTTAATGCATCCTAGTGCATATCAATTTCTTTAAAAACAAAACGTACATACTTTTTTATTTTACCATTTGATTTGATTGTAATCTATTGACACACCTAGTTTCTCTTAGTAAAGTATTTGAAACCAAAAAGCTTTGTCATGATCTTCATCAACAGCAGAAGAATCAGAGAAAATAATAAGGATCTCAGAATATTGTCAAATCAATATGTTTGAGAGCGACTGCTTTTAGGTAATGTGCTCATTTAAGAACAATATGAACCACAACTCGTGTTGCAGTTCTTTAAAGGTGCAGTGTGTAATATTTAGGAGGATCTGTTGACAGAAATGCAATATCATATACATAACTATGTTTTCTGTGGTGTATAACGACCTTACTTAATGAACCGTTGTTTTTATTACCTTTCTCTCTACACACACCGCGGGTCCCTTACACCGACATGTTTCTACGGTGGCCCTGAGTGGACACACGCATTTCGTCACTGTGTTGTTCTTCGTGTAAAGAAGCTGCTTAAGTCAGCGAATAAAACACTGACACAATGATGAACAAGTCACCATAATATTCGCAATAACATCGATTTACTCAATAATTAAGTAACCGAATTTCTTAATTTATCTTTGTAAAGAAAGCTCATAGCTTAACTGACTACTCTCTGCTGTCTCAGACGATGACATCACTTCCTGTCGGCCACCGTAACTTCCGTTGGGTGCAATTCTCACCCTCACCACTAGATGCCGCTGAAACGTACACACTGCACCTTTAAGCAAGTAACTCCTTTTTATTCACTCATCAAAGCCAATTTTTCTTATATTAGATCAATGTTTTTTCATATTTGTGAATGTCAATCCATCTTAAACTATGACCTTGTAGTGCGCACTTAACATGCATTACATCCTCTTCTTGGATGTCTGGTAGAAGCGCTGGCAAATCAACAGAAATATGGAAATGCTCACTTTAAAGGTGCAGTGTGTACGTTTCAGCGGCATCTAGTGGTGAGGTTACGAATCGCACCCAACGGAAGTTACGGTGGCCGACAGGAAGTGATGTCGTCGTCTGAGACAGCAGAGAGTAGCCAGTTAAGCTATGAGCTTTCTTTACAAAGATAAATTAAGAAATTAGGTTACTTAATAATTCAATAAATCGATGTTATTGCGAATATTATGGTGACTTGTTCATCATTGTGTCAGTGTTTTATTCGCTGACTTCAGCAGCTTCTTTACACGAAGAACAACACAGTGACGAAACGCGTGTGTCCGTTCAGGGCCACCGTAGAAACATGTCGGTGTAAGGGGAGACAGAAATGCTCATTCTAAGGTAATAAAAACATAACGGTTCATTATGTAAGGTCGTTATACACTACAGAAAACATTTATGTATATGATATTGCATTTCTGTCAACAGATCCTCCTAAATATTACACACTGCACCTTTAAGTCAATTAAGTCACCTTCATTTATATAGCGCTTTTAACAATATAGTTAGTTTTAAAGCAGCTACTTCACACAGGACCATTGGTTCACGGGTTCAGGATCATGTTTGACCGGTGTTGTACTGAACCACAGGCCACTATGTAGAGTCCGGCCCTGACTCATACAAACCTCAGGAGCCTGTGAAGGAAAGCACACTCATGACACAGCTGAGAGCGGGCCTGGACACTGACCTCCGCACAAACTTTGAGGTGATCTTGCTGATGAAGCCCGAGGAGGCCCCGCGCCGGGCCTGGGCGAGGGCGCCGGTGTCGTGGGACAGCGTGGGCGAGGCGGGGGGGCCGTTGTAGGTGGCGCTGCGCCGGTCTCTGAGCTGCGCCCCGTGGAAGGTGCTCCGGCTCGAGGTGCCCCGGGGGAAGCGGGTCCGGTCCGGGGTCATGCTGCTGATGCTGTGCGCTGACGGAGACGTGGACGGGGCCCTGCGCGCACACACGCACGCACGCACACGCACGCACACACACACACACACACACAAAAGTGATTAAAACAAACTAACAAGTGGAACTGCACTCATAATGAGTAATCAGCTCCACAGTCTGCATGCTCACAGTTCAGCTATAACCCCAGCTGGATCTCTGATCAGGGTTATCACCAGTGCTTTAATAACAATAATAACACCTTTCATTTACAGGCGCTTTCAAGGCACTCAAGGACACCTTACAACATAAAAAGTAAATCAGTAAAACACAAAGCTATGCTAAAAGACAGATCAAACATAATCAACAAATCAAACAATCACATCACTAAAGCTGTTCTCCACAGATCCGGTTACTCTGAGCTTCAGAGAGGGACATGGACTCCACCTGGCGAGTGTGTAGCGGTGAAGAGCTGCACAGGCCCCGCCTCCACATGCACTACTCAACTTTACAGTTACTTTTAAAAGAAATGCGTTGCAATATTGTGTTACTCCCTAAAAAAGTAACCATTACATTACTTAGTGAAAGTAATGTGTTAGATTACTTTTGCATTACTTTTTCACACATGTGACCGCAAAACCAGTCACGATTAGCACGGGTTTATTAGCCAACAATACATCGTATGGGTCAAAATGATCCTTTTTTCTTTTATGCCAAAAATCATTAGGATATTCAGTAAAGATCATGTTCCATGAAGATATCTTGTACATTTCCTACCGTAAATATATAAAACATGTATGTTTGTGAGTGGATGCTGCACAATCGCGAACATTAATGCACAACTATAAAGGGGATTTTGCTCAATGAAATTCTCTTTCAGGCCGTGCAGGTGTTCACTTCTTTACAGTAAAGTGTTCACCACAGTAATGCATTCAACAACACAGTCTTTATTACATACATACACCTTCATTTTCTTGGAAATATGCATGTAGAATATTATAATAGTCTGGCCACTTTGAATATTTCCTGAGCCCTAGAGCGAAGTATGCCGAATAGAACATCTCTTAACATTACGGCTTACGTTACCCACTGTACAACTCTGTTTATTGAAAGATTAAGACACAGGTTTGTTGCGGCATGTGTTGATTTGGGGCTTTTCAGACTAGTGGCGAGAAAGCATCCAATACACACTTTCAACTGTATCTTTTATAGCACTTTATCTATTTGCGTACGAAGGTTTCAATTACAGTACACATCTTTAAAGGCTGTTTACTCAAAATGAGGTTGTTCCACTTTAGCAGCACTTACACACACCAAACCTTACAGTTTTATTCCTATCGATATTCTGAAGGATTTTACAGAGGGTTTTCTGATTTTATACAGCATTTATTTCTTTTCTTTCTGGCTGTTGACAGTATTTTCTGATTTATGGAGTGATAAAAAGAGATGGTCAAAATCCCCTTTGCCTTTAATATATCACAAAACCAAACAAGAATTTTGAACCCGACTTTATCCAATGTTCAGATTTTTGTTCTAGAAATGTATGAAAATGAGTGCATATTTAACTAGACAACACCTAATTTAAATATGTAAACATAACATTTCAGAAAACGTATTTTTTTTGCAATTGTTACTGTACTCAATGAGCTGTGTGAGTATGGAGATATCTAGCAGGCAGAAGTGTTTACTCTGTTCAGCTGTTGCCTTAAAGTAAAGCGTTTTGTTCCTGTTGAACTGTTTGTCTGTTTCCTCACATGAATGCACATGTCTGAGTGACTGCGTTACGGAGAACAGAGAGAACTTTAATCGTTACATCAAAAAAGTAACCTGATTACATAATGCATGTTACTTGTAGTCAGTGGTTAAAGTGGGATTTGGCAGGTGGGGGAACCCTCAAATTTTGTGTAAGAAATGACTCACCGTGGGACAACATATTGAGTATCGCGATATAGCAATACTTTTTGGGACAAGAGTGTCACTGTGGCACCAAGTATCACTTATTTACTGATTTATTTTGGTCCATCAACACTGATATGATGACGATACTATGTTAAAATTGCTGAAAACTGGGAAAAAAAATTCAAATAAAAAATACTTGAAAATGTTATAAATATGAAATATAAAACTCATTCCTCAAACCTTTAATAAAACTATACTAGTATCTCAACGACACCAGAACAACACGGTCTCTGAAAGCCCAGTGTGTGTGTCCTCACCCCTTGAACTCCGTGTTGTCCTCGATGGGCGGCAGCGGGGACTTGTTGGGGTGTCCCGAGGCGGACATGGACTTGACGTGGCGCGGGCGAGTGGAGGCCCCAGCCGAGGAGCCCCCGGGAGACACCGAGGAAGAGGCGCTCGCAGAGCCCGACATCTCCGTCAAGCTGAAACACACACACACACCAACACATGTGCACTCGTCAGGATCAAGACGCCACGGAACTGGTTTGCGTATCGAGTTCTTCGGGGGTAAAACTGATATTTTGCGGATCCTTTCACACCAAGAGAAATGCAAACTGAAACTGTAAGCGATCATGTTTTTCTAATGTATAATGAAAGCAAAGGACAGAACCTGTGGACGTTTGCAGCAGTTTTTGCACTGCTTTGAGGCAAATGTGCAGGATTTTGCATAATGTGTATGTTTTTCTCTGCTCATAAACACAAATAATCCACGCAATTGCGATAAGCCTTTTTTAGTTCTGTCAATCGATTAGAAAACCAATTGATCACACATTTTTCTGTAATTAATCGCGATTAATCGAATCTAACATTGACATTTTTAATATATTTTTATGTTGAAATACTTTCACATTGAATCTCCAAATTAACGTAGAAACAATTAAAACAAGTATTATTTTAAAAATGTGTTTAATGTTAAATTGTTTTACTGAGTGGCAGGGGGAAACATGGATGCTGTGTCAATTGGTAAATATTTTTAACACGTTAAACAGAAGAAGAAGAAAATCGCAAATAGAATGTGTTATTTTTGAAAGCCCTATTTTTTTTTTCAAATTCAACAAGCAAAAGTTTAAAAAATGTATTAACTTACATTTCACAAACAATATGGCCGGATTGAACATGAGTGTTTTCCTGAAAAAGCCACGAGTGGAGCAATATAAACAATCTGCAGTGCAACTGGGTTTCATATCTCTTCTTTTTCATTTTTTTTAATTATTTGTTTAAAGTAGAGTTCACTAAGCGGGTCTCAGTGATGATGAATTGTTTTTTGTTTGTTTTTATATTTATGTCAATTTTTGTACGCATGTTGAAACATAAACAACAAAAATGTCCCCATGGGGATAATAAAGTGGTCAACTCAAGTCTTCTTATTAATTACGGCTGGACTGACACATGACCCAGAGGTTGAGATCTCACTGGTGTGTGTGTGTGTGTGGAGAGGTGTAGTTTGAGGTCAGTGTGAGTGTAAACGCTCTGCGGTGTGAATCAGGAAGAGGAGAGCGTGAGGCTGTGATTGGCTCACCTGCTGTCTTTGCCGTTAGGGATCGCCGAGTGCCGCTCTGTGCTGGATCTCTCACACACATACGTGTTCCTCCTGGTCATCCCGGCAGCGCTGTTCTGCTCACACAAACACACATTAGTCACACAGTGAGCGCGTGCGGGCTGTCGTCAGTGGCGTGTCAGCGCTGTGAGGTCTCACCCCTGCGGCCGAGGTCTTCCTGCGCTCCTGGGCCACCAGAGGAGAGACGGCCACGTCTGCTTTGGAGCTGGAGGAGGCCAGCTTACGGGACGCGTCCCACTCCTCCTTCTTCTCCCCCTCCACGCTGTTGGCCTGCGAGCGCTTGGTGTAGGACACGGTCGGGGGGATGGACGGGGCGACTGCAAAAACACCACACTTGTACACCCATGCAGCGTTTCAGATGAAAATATGTCGGCTCAGAATCAAATGGAGACCGTTATCATCAACTTTGGGTTCTTTTCAAATATGGACATTTTGATGAAGTCAAGTCTTATTGTTTTCCTCAATAATATCTTAGTATCACAATAGTATCTTCATGCCTTATAGTTTCATAAAGCTAGGCGGTAATATAGTTTACATTTTGCGATGATACAAGCGTATAAGCTTATCGCCCTACGCTAGTTACTGTATGTATGTGGATAAAGTTGGACATTTGTACTGTATACTTATATACATACACAAACAGTGTTGAGAGTAAAGCATTACAACTAGCGCGAGTTACGTAATCAGATTACTTTTAAGTAACTGGTAAAGTAATGCCTTGTACAACAAAATATCTAAATTATTTTTTCAAATAAGTAATGAAAGTTACTTTGTTTTCCCATTTATTGCCTGACTTTGCATTTCCTTTAGCCTGAGGCTTATTCATCTCAAGTTTGGTGTGAAAGGGCCCTTATATTTGCCAAAAATTGTTTTTTGTTTGTTATTAATAAACAAGCAAGAAAGCCCAGGTGAGGAAAAGTAACACAAAAGCAATTTTACGCATTACTTTCTATAAAAAGTAATGCAATTAGTTTATTTTTTATGGGAGTAACGCAATATTGTAAAATTACTTTTAAAAGTAGCTTTCCCCAACACTGATGCAGTATAATCGATTTACGAGAGTTTACTGTTTGCGTTTGCATTACACTGGATATAATACTGAATATATGCAACTTTATATGGTGCGATAATACAGTTTACAATTTGCAGCCATTTAGTTTGTAAACCATTTCATGAGGATACTGTATATGTGCAGCTAAAGCAGGATATACTATATATGCAGCTTATAATATCACTGGGCGATGATGTAACTTACATTCTGCGACAATATAAACACATTTTAACAAACAGATTGAACCCTTTTCAGTTTAAAAATGCCTTTTATGTAAAGCTTTTGTTGTTTTACATTTTTCCTGACTCAGACTTTGAAACTATGAACTATGAAAATCCATTCAAAGTATACTAGTTATTAAATGTTTAAAACTATGCATGCCACATTCTTTATGTAGACTTCACATCTAAATCGAGCTAACGACCGTTTCTGAATTTACTTTTGTTTATACATCTCAATTTCTTTTAGCTAAATCCTTTCTCATTCAGAATTCAGTGTTGATTGTCATACTGCGCGTGATCGAGTGTTAATAATAATAATACGTTTTATTTATATAGCGCCTTTCAAGAACCCAAGGACACTTTACATAATAGTGAGAGTTAGAAATATGCCACGAGGAGACGGCAGCATGAGCTGGTTTAGTTAATGTAAGGGCGTGAGCAGTTCTGAGTTAGCTCCAGCCGATTAATGGTTATGACCACAGAGTACCAGTGGTCCAGGCGTGAGGTTATGAGAGCAGTGTGTGTGTGTGTGTGTGTGTGTACCGTGGTCGCTGAAGCGGCGCTGTTTCTGCGTGGCCGAGATGCTGCGCTGGACTTTGGAGTGAGCGGGAGACGGCGTGGAGCTGTTGTTCAGGTCACTGCTGGGGCGGGACCTCTGACACAGGTTTGTGGAGGACAGCGAATCGCTCCCTTCAAACTGCCATGAGCAAACAAACCACAGGATCAGAGTTATTACAGTTACATTATTATCACATATGGAACTAAAACTAATATAAAGTATTCAAGTATCTTAAAGGGTTCGTTCACCCCATAATGTAAACTCTGTCAGTAATTACTCTCCCTCATGTTGTTCAACCCCGTAAGACTTTCGTTCATCTTCAGAACACAAATTAAGATATTTCTGATTAAATCTGAGAGCTGGATCACTCCTCCATAGGCTTCTAAGGGATAGAAACTTCCCGGCCCAGAAAAACATTGTTAAAATAGTCCGAGTGACGACAGCGGCTCAATCTTAAGTTTATCAAGCGACGAGAATACTTTTTGTGCGCAAAAAACAGACAAAAATAACGACTTTATTCAACTCTTCATTTCCTTCTCTGTACGGCCGTGATATTACACGTAGTGTAACAGCGCAGCGCTTCTGGGTTGTACGTCACACACAGGCTCACTATTGGCCGACGCTGGTCATGTGTGTGATGCGTGTGACGTCACAGAAGCGCTGCGCTGTTACACTACGTGTAATATCACGGCCGTACAGAGAAGGAAATGAAGAGTTGAATAAAGTCTTTATTTTTGTGTGTTTTTTGCGCACAAAAAGTATTCTCGTCGCTTGATAAACTGAAGGTTGAGCCACTGTAGTCACTCGGACTATTTTAATGATGTCTGTAATAACTTTTGGGCCGGCCAGTTTCGATCCCTTAGAAGCCTATGGAGGAGTGATCCAGCTCTCAGATTTAATCAGAAATATCTTAATTTGTGTTCTGAAGATGAACGAAAGTCTTACGGGGTTGAACAACATGAGGGAGAGTAATTACTGACAGAGTTTACATTATGGGGTGAACTAACCCTTTAATGCCTACGTTTACATGCACAACTTTGTTGAATTCATTCTAATTGGTGAATCCGAACGTAGTGTTTACATGAACGCTGAACATGTGATCAGGTTGATGTGTGCGTTTATATGTCACAAGCTTCAAACCGGAATAGATGTTTTGACATGTGCACACTGCACGAATATACAGTTATAACTATATATATATAACTACATTGGCTCTTTATTTGTTTTAAACAGCAGACTTAATATTTATCCATATCTGGTCATAATTTGGATACATGAGCATATGAACCGTTGTGCCGCTGCTTATATTTATGATCACGCAGTAAAAATGCCCGACACCAGTCGTCTGTGGATGAGAGTCTGAAAGCAGGACTGGTGGGCCGCTGTCCGGCTCCACTTCACACACACAGTGAAAGGAGAATTAAAGTGACGGGACACTCATTTATACGACACTTTATTCAACAGGAAGATCGGCTCGTTCCGCTCGTCATTCGTCATTACGCTATTTCTACGTCATTGCACATGCGCAGTCCTTTCAGTTTCGGTTCTCAATCCGATCAAGTGTTCACATGTCCTCTCGACCGGATTAGTAAAGGAATAAACCAGCCCTTTCAATCCGATCAAGTGTTCACATGTCCTCTCGACCGGATTAGTAAAGGAATAAACCAGCCCTTTCAAGCCGATCAAGTGTTCACATGTCCTCTCGACCGGATTAGTAAAGGAATAAACCAACCCTTTCAATCCGATCAAGTGTTCACATGTCCTCTCGACCGGATTAGTAAAGGAATAAACCAACCCTTTCAATCCGATCAAGTGTTCACATGTCCTCTCGACCGGATTAGTAAAGGAATAAACCAACCCTTTCAATCCGATCAAGTGTTCACATGTCCTCTCGACCGGATTAGTAAAGGAATAAACCAACCCTTTCAATCCGATCAAGTGTTCACATGTCCTCTCGACCGGATTAGTAAAGGAATAAACCAACCCTTTCAATCCGATCAAGTGTTCACATGTCCTCTCGACCGGATTAGAAAAGGAATAAACCAACCCTTTCAATCCGATCAAGTGTTCACATGTCCTCTCGACCGGATTTGTAAAGGAATAAACCAGCCCTTTCAATCCGATCAAGTTTTCACATGTCCTCTCGACCGGATTAGTAAAGGAATAAACCAACCCTTTCAATCCGATCAAGTGTTCACATGTCCTCTCGACCGGATTAGTAAAGGAATAAACCAGCCCTTTCAACCCGATCAAGTGTTCACATGTCCTCCCGACCGGATTAGTAAAGGAATAAACCAGCCCTTTCAATCCGATCAAGTGTTCACATGTCCTCTCGACCGGATTAGTAAAGGAATAAACCAACCCTTTCAATCCGATCAAGTGTTCACATGTCCTCTCGACCGGATTAGAAAAGGAATAAACCAACCCTTTCAATCCGATCAAGTGTTCACATGTCCTCTCGACCGGATTAGTAAAGGAATAAACCAGCCCTTTCAATCCGATCAAGTGTTCACATGTCCTCTCGACCGGATTAGAAAAGGAATAAACCAACCCTTTCAATCCGATCAAGTGTTCACATGTCCTCTCGACCGGATTAGTAAAGGAATAAACCAGCCCTTTCAATCCGATCAAGTTTTCACATGTCCTCTCGACCGGATTAGTAAAGGAATAAACCAACCCTTTCAATCCGATCAAGTGTTCACATGTCCTCTCGACCGGATTAGAAAAGGAATAAACCAGCCCTTTCAACCCGATCAAGTGTTCACATGTCCTCCCGACCGGATTAGTAAAGGAATAAACCAGCCCTTTCAATCCGATCAAGTGTTCACATGTCCTCTCGACCGGATTAGAAAAGGAATAAACCAACCCTTTCAATCCGATCAAGTGTTCACATGTCCTCTCGACCGGATTAGAAAAGGAATAAACCAGCCCTTTCAACCCGATCAAGTGTTCACATGTCCTCTCGACCGGATTAGAAAAGGAATAAACCAGCCCTTTCAATCCGATCAAGTGTTCACATGTCCTCTCGACCGGATTAGTAAAGGAATAAACCAGCCCTTTCAATCCGATCAAGTGTTCACATGTCCTCTCGACCGGATTAGTAAAGGAATAAACCAACCCTTTCAATCCGATCAAGTGTTCACATGTCCTCTCGACCGGATTAGTAAAGGAATAAACCAACCCTTTCAATCAGATCAAGTGTTCACATGTCCTCTCGACCGGATTAGTAAAGGAATAAACCAACCCTTTCAATCCGATCAAGTGTTCACATGTCCTCTTGACCGGATTAGTAAAGGAATAAACCAACCCTTTCAATCCGATCAAGTGTTCACATGTCCTCTCGACCGGATTAGTAAAGGAATAAACCAGCCCTTTCAATCCGATCAAGTGTTCACATGTCCTCTCGACCGGATTAGTAAAGGAATAAACCAGCCCTTTCAATCAGATCAAGTGTTCACATGTCCTCTCGACCGGATTAGTAAAGGAATAAACCAGCCCTTTCAATCCGATCAAGTGTTCACATGTCCTCCCGACCGGATTAGTAAAGGAATAAACCAGCCCTTTCAATCCGATCAAGTGTTCACATGTCCTCTCGACCGGATTAGTAAAGGAATAAACCAACCCTTTCAATCCGATCAAGTGTTCACATGTCCTCTCGACCGGATTAGTAAAGAAATAAACCAGCCCTTTCAATCCGATCAAGTGTTCACATGTCCTCTCGACCGGATTAGTAAAGGAATAAACCAACCCTTTCAATCCGATCAAGTGTTCACATGTCCTCTCGACCGGATTAGTAAAGGAATAAACCAACCCTTTCAATCCGATCAAGTGTTCACATGTCCTCTCGACCGGATTAGTAAAGGAATAAACCAACCCTTTCAATCCGATCAAGTGTTCACATGTCCTCTCGACCGGATTAGTAAAGGAATAAACCAGCCCTTTCAATCCGATCAAGTGTTCACATGTCCTCCCGACCGGATTAGTAAAGGAATAAACCAGCCCTTTCAATCCGATCAAGTGTTCACATGTCCTCTCGACCGGATTAGTAAAGGAATAAACCAACCCTTTCAATCCGATCAAGTGTTCACATGTCCTCTCGACCGGATTAGTAAAGAAATAAACCAGCCCTTTCAATCCGATCAAGTGTTCACATGTCCTCCCGACCGGATTAGTAAAGGAATAAACCAGCCCTTTCAATCCGATCAAGTGTTCACATGTCCTCTCGACCGGATTAGTAAAGGAATAAACCAACCCTTTCAATCCGATCAAGTGTTCACATGTCCTCTCGACCGGATTAGTAAAGGAATAAACCAACCCTTTCAATCCGATCAAGTGTTCACATGTCCTCTCGACCGGATTAGTAAAGGAATAAACCAACCCTTTCAATCCGATCAAGTGTTCACATGTTCTCCCGACCAGATTAGTAAAGGAATAAACCAGCCCTTTCAATCCGATTGAAGTTACATTGAGATCGAGCTCAATCGGATCGGTTAAGGCGTTTACATGAAGGCTTTTCAGTCCGATTGAGCCGTCGGTCCGATTACTGACGGATTATTTGGTTGCATGTAAGCGTAGCCACTGACGGTAAAACACATGCACAGGGTGTACGGAGAGGATCGTCATCATGACTTGCCTCTGGAGGTTTCCTGCCCAGCAGGAGATACGTGGCCATGACCTCATCATACTTCTGCCCCACTAACGCCTCTGTGATCTCGTCTTTAGGGAAACCCATGGTGATCATCAGTTCTGAAAGAGATGTGAGGATTCACACACAATTCCTTGTTACTCTCAATGCATAAAAGAAATGTTCTTGCCATGTAGTGTATTTTTAGGTTGTCCATTATGAAAACAACTGCATTGGAAGTAGAGTAGGAAATGAGGAGGGAGACCCGGGAAGACAGACCTATGCGTTTGGTGTCGCTGAAGTCGGGCTCGGGTTCTGTATACGGCTTCAGCTCCTCTTCCTCGTGACCCACATTCATCCAGCGGTCCTTCATGATTTGCTGTGCGAGATCGGCAGATGTTAAACTACACATTTGCATATGAATCAAATGTTTTTAAATCTTAACACTGATGTAATGATGCTAGAAGAACAGTAGACAGCCTTTAAATGCATACTTTGATACAATTTTTTTTTACAAAAAGGCAAAAATTAGAAAGGCGGGTTTTCCGATTCATGTTGTAACTGTACATTATGTATGACTCATGTTGTAAATGTACTGTAACTGAATTGCAGTCCTGATATTACAGCGCAGTATTGAGCAGCAGAGCTTTATATATGCTTCTAGCTCAAGAACTTGCTCGAACTTCAAGTCATTTCTAAACAAGAAAAATGTGTGATAATCTAGGTTTATTGCTTACAAGCATGAATGAGATTTGAGAGTTACAACAGAAGGGGAGCCATCACAGGATTCATAAGACTCGGGATTAAACATACAAGTCTTATGGACAACTTTTATGAAACCTTCATGGTGCTTTTCGTCTTTTTCTGAGTTTACAGTTGCCCTGTTCACAGTATGTTTTCATGTGAGGTAAAGAGCAGGGAGAACATTCTGTGAAACATCTCCTTTTGTGTTCAACAAATACGTTTTTTCTTTGTGATGTGAGTGTGTAGAGCAGTCTCACCTCTAGACTTCCCCGTTTGCCTGGGTTAAGCACCAAGAGTTTCTTCAGAAGGTTTTCACAGTCTGTGGACATGTAGAAGGGTATGCGATACTTCCCTCGCAACACCCTCTCTCGCAGCTCCTGTGTGGACCAACAGTCAGAGTAAGGGCGATGAACAGTGTGTGCTTGTGGGCAACAGGCCTTGAGTGACCTTGAATGAAACAGGAAGTGACCTTCAGGTTCTGTCCGTCGAAGGGAAGCGACCCGCTGACCAGCGTGTAGAGGATCACCCCCAGACTCCAGACGTCCACCTCGGGCCCGTCGTACTTCTTGCCCTGGAAGAGTTCGGGAGCCGCGTACGGAGGACTGCCGCAGAACGTGTCCAGCTTACTCCCGATCGTGAACTCGTTACTGAAGCCGAAGTCTGCGATCTTTATGTTCATGTCCGCGTCTAGCAGCAAGTTTTCAGCCTTACAGAGAGAGACGCAAAAAGAAAGGTAGCAAAGCGGTCAGCAGTGTTTACGAACATGTGACCCTGGACCGCAAAACCAGTCACGAGTCGCACGGGCTTATTTGTGGCAATAGATGTAACAATACAATGATTCAAAATGATCGATTTTTCTTTTATGCCAAAAATCATTAGGATATTCAGTAAAGATCATGTTCCATGAAGATATCTTGTAAATTTCCTACTGTAAATATATAAAACATGTATTTTTGTGAGTGGATGCTGCACAATCGCGAACATAAATAAATGCACAACTATAAAGGAGATTTTCTCAATGTTTTTTGCACCCTCAGATTCCAGATTTTCAAATAGTTGTATCTCGTCCAAATATACATCCTAACAAACCAAACATCAAAGCTTATTTATTTAGCGTTCAGATGCTGTATGAATCTCAATTTAAAAAACTTTACCCATGTGACTGGTTTAGTGGTCCAGGGTCACACATTAGAAATCAATGAAACACAAATCATTAAAGGTGACCAGATCTACGCCACAGGCTTAAACCTCTCTGAGTGAGTCTCACCTTGAGATCCCTGTGGACTATTCTCTTCTGGTGGCAATATTGCACTGCGGACACGATCTGTAGTCACACACACAAAGTCACATTAGCATGGCAATTAATGCGGCATTCCACAAACCACAAAAAAAGCCTTTTTAGCAACAAATTAAAGCTGAGAAAGTCTCTAAATTGTACACATGCTAGGCGGACATGGCGTTTTCACAGCTGTTTGCCTTCCTGAAACAGGAATTAAAATTGTTACAATGTTGCAATTTCTTCCTAGTTTGGTTCACTCTCACATGGCAGCATTTCTAAATGGACCAAAATACAAGTCAAGAGTCAAGTCAAGTTAAGCTGTCCTCTCATTGGTCGGAGAGACAACAGCTCCGCCGGCTAATTGTGGCTTTCTTTGTAGCTGTCGTTATCATTTTGAGCAAGAATTAAGCCTTCGTCTGTATATTTGTGTGTTTTGGACAGTTGTTCTGGAATGTTTGTCCGAACAAATTTCAATTAGGCATTTTACTTCGTCTTTGATCGACCCATGATTCATTTAGCAAAACAAACACTGCAGTTTTTTCACAAAAACGTAAGTAATGACCCCTCATACATTGTGATACAGCCTAGTTTGCTGTTGTCGGACTGCTTTGTCATCACAAGCGACCCGCTCCTGAGTCCGTTTTCAAGAGGACCGAGACGCCTCGATCCCAGATCAGTTGTTGTGGTGCGGATCAGAGCGAGTTATGCCTAAACCAACCGAACTACTGAAGAAACTGCGTCAGGGTGCTCTCACACCTGAGCGTTTGTTTGTGAACCTGGTGTGTTTTCTCCCTTGGTTCGGCTCGTAGCAAGCCTGTAGCATATGAACACGGCAATCGCACTCGGATCCGCACCAAAACAATCCCTCCTACACCGCCTGAACCAGGCTGTCTCGGCCCGACTGCAAACAAACTCTGGGACGTTCGCTTGAGGTGTGAAAGCAATCCGACCCAACGGACCAACAAACCAAATGATATTAGCATTCATAGCGGGAAATGTGCTATATAAACAGCAGTAGTGTGAGATAATAATCTAACAGTGGGAACGACGTCTGCATTAGTACAGTGTTTGCATGTGTCAGTTACAGATAAAGCCACAATAAGCTCGCGGAACGAACTTGTCAATCATCTTGATGGACGACGCAGAGGAAACTGACCAATAAGAAGACAGTTGTACTCGCATGTGACTTGCATAAACACATTTTGGTACGCTTTGAAAGGTTGCCTTGAGAAAGCGAACTGAATAAGAAGAAAAAAATGCAACACTGTAACAAATTAAGTCCCTGTTTCAGAACAAAACAACCGATCTATAGGTGTGGAAACGCCTTAACACTCCCAATGATCCAGGTGTGAAAACGCCACAACATGCCTTAATGTCACTGTAGTTGAGAGAGAGAAAGATATAAAGAGAGAGAGAGTCTTATATTCTCACTAAGCACATCCTGCAGTGTGAAAGGCAGTGACTGAAGCCCGGGGCTTTTGTTTGGCTTCATGAGCAGAGCTGACTGGAAATGGCCATTTATTGTCGGACGGCAGGGGTTTAATCACACACACACTCCCGCTGGTTCACAGTTATCATCACAGGATCAGCGGACGCGAGGGACCCTGGTGAGTGCTTCGTCTCCACTAGAGGGTGTGCATGTGTTCAGGCAGCTCTCCGACACTAGCCCACGCTAACAGTCATCACAGACAGTGTGTGTTTACTGATCAGGATATCAGTCTCCTTAAAGGTGCCATTAATGTCAAATACTACATCTGATATTATATACACGTTTTTTTCTTTCTCAAATAGATGTTTTAGGAATCATCATAGCAATAACTTTTCAACCAAATAGACTGGCTATTTGGTTGAAAAGTTATTGCTATGATGATTCCTAAAACATCTATTTGAGAAAGAAAAAAACGTGTATATACGTGTATGTTAATCAGAATCAAAATGCAATAAATACTGTTAAAATAAATGTACTTAATCGAATTAATTTTATGTAAACCAACATGACAATACATATTAATAAACAGCAATATTTACCCACATTTATTTGTACTAAAATATCATTGAGTATGCTAAATTAACAAGACTTTGGTGAACATTTTATTCATTAAAACATTGATTCACTGAAAAAAAAAAAAAAAATAATAGGAAGTTAAAATCAGGGATGTGTTAATTAACACTTTACGAAACTTAACTGCCCAAAAATATGCATTGAGATTTTCTTGATAATTGTATATTGTTATCAAAATTATAGCATATACCTTAAATATTTCACTACAAGTAACAATTCTTTTTAAGGTTATTATTACTTTATAATTTACTTAGTTTTGGTTTCTAGTAACTTTTGATAGTTACTAAAATCCCTCCAATTTTACTGGTAACAATTGATTCAACACTAGAACTTATTAATTATATATTAGTACATATTCCAATACCAGTACATGTAACTAGTTATATATTTTATTTCTTATTTCTAAATGTAAATGTATTTTTTACCATTTTAAGGTAGTATGCCAACCCTACTTACAAACCATTGTCAGTGTAGGAAAATAAAGAGTAAAATAAAATGGCCACATCTGTAAAGTTTGTATGTACAAATATTTATTAATTATGGACAGGATTATGAAATTCTGATATTTGAACAGAGAAACCCTGTAATTGTGATATTGTGTAGTGTTTTATCATTGATAAGACAGAGATGTGCGTCTCACCTGCCGAAACTTTGCTCTGGCTTCCTTCTCTTTCATCCTCCCATGAGCCACTAAGTAGTCAAACACTTCACCTGACATAAACAGAGGCATTCAGAGATGTGTGTGTGTGTGACACGAGCCATATTAAATATGATCCCGCCTGTCCATCAAACTCACCTCCACTCGCATACTCCATTATTAAATACAGCGTCTTCTCTGTTTCAATGACTTCAAATAACTTAACTGAAAGAGAGGCAGATATAGAGAGTGATTCATGTTTTACACTCAAACATTTCAACATCAACCGAATATTGATTTAGATGTTACAAACGGGACAATGTCAATATGTTGTCTGAACATTTATAAACATTAGAACAATTTTCTTAAACTAACAGCATTTCTGATTCATTTAATGACCTTCATATAATCTCAACTCAAAAATGATTGCGGGATCTTGGCATTAGCATGTCGCTAAGCTAATGACCGTCTACGCTTACGTGTGGAAATGTAGGAGTACATCCCTTCCTGTTCGACTTCTTGTTAATGTTTATAATTGATATTTTTCATAATGTATCAAGTTTGAAGAATCTTGAAATACCAGTGGAAAAGAAATCATAAGTTAAACTGAATCTGTAGTGTTTATTGAATGTGATTTTGGAAGTGACACGTCGCCACAGGCTTCATGCACAACAAACACACATCGCCTTGAGCCAGGGCGATTCGTGAAGCAAACACATTCAGAGCGACACGTGTAGCGCTTTCTGGAAATGAATGAGAAGTCAGGAACATAAGGTAGTCTGGTCTAATATGAATGGAAAAGTGAGAGTGATTCCCTCTTGAATAACTGTTAGCTGGTCAAACTAGTTTTTGAGACACAGTCTTAACAACACTGAAGCTAGGTGTATGCAACTGGCCCCAGATCTGTGTGTGAACTCTCTCAGGAGTGAAACCGCACGCCAGGGATGCTTGTTATGGAGACATGCTAAAACACACACACGACGTCACACACAGTTTCTTTCCACTTCATATCACTGTATGCGGAGAGCAGACACGAATAACGGCTGACTGCTTCCTGATTCTTCAACACGCATTGTGTGTGTGTGTGTCAGGAAAGTGGCAGGGATAGGTGTGTAATCACAGCTTTTAGTTTGATTAATCTACAATCCAGCTCAGTCTCAGCCAATCAGACGCCAGCACTGACACGCATGCGGGCCGGCAGTAGAAACAGCCAGTCACGGTGATCGATAGCGAACTGAAAACACAGTCTGGTGATGTTAAGAGGCACAGAAGAGCTGAGACATCGTAGAGCTAATCGTGCTCAAGTCTGAACGACTCTCCTGTGATTCCCCTCCATTAGGAGTATAAATAATCCAGTTATCCGAGGATAAAGAGAGGGAGAGTGAGACACTGAGCTGGGAATTAAAGCAAGACACAGATGAAGGAAGACATCACTTCCAGTTAGAAGGGGCTCGCTCGGGGGCTATGATCAGGGGTTATGATCGGGGGTTATGATCAGGGGTTATGATCAGGGGTTATGATCAGGGGTTATGATCGGGGGTTATGATCAGGGGTTATGATCGGGGGTTATGATCGGGGGTTATGATCAGGGGTTATGATCAGGGGTTATGATCGGGGGTTATGATCGGGGGTTATGATCAGGGGTTATGATCAGGGGTTATGATCGGGGGTTATGATCAGGGGTTATGATCGGGGGTTATGATCGGGGGTTATGATCAGGGGTTATGATCGGGGGTTATAATCACGGGTTATGATCAGGGGTTATGATCGGGGGTTATGATCGGGGGTTATGATCGGGGGGTTATGATCGGGGGTTATGATCGGGGGTTATGATCGGGGGTTGTGATCAGCGGTTATGATCGGGGGTTATGATCAGCGGTTATGATCGGGGGTTATGATCGGGGGTTATGATCACGGGATATGATCGGGGGTTATGATCGGGGGTTATGATCAGCGGTTATGATCGGGGGTTATGATCGGGGGTTATGATCGGGGGTTATGATCGGGGGTTATGATCGGGGGTTATGATCGGGGGTTATGATCGGGGGTTATAATCACGGGTTATGATAGGGGGTTATGATCGGGGGTTATGATCGGGGGTTATGATCGGGGGTTATGGTCAGCGGTTATGATCGGGGGTTATGATCGGGGGTTATGATCGGGGGTTATGATCGGGGGTTATAATCACGGGTTATGATAGGGGTTTATGATCGGGGGTTATGATCGGGGGTTATGATCGGGGGTTATGATCAGCGGTTATGATCAGCGGTTATGATCGGGGGTTATGATCAGCGGTTATGATCAGCGGTTATGATCGGGGGTTATGATCAGCGGTTATGATCGGGGGTTATGATCGGGGGTTATAATCACGGGTTATGATAGGGGGTTATGATCGGGGGTTATGATCGGGGGTTATGATCGGGGGTTATGATCAGCGGTTATGATCAGCGGTTATGATCGGGGGTTATGATCAGCGGTTATGATCGGGGGTTATGATCGGGGGTTATAATCACGGGTTATGATAGGGGGTTATGATCGGGGGTTATGATCGGGGGTTATGATCGGGGGTTATGATCGGGGGTTATGATCAGCGGTTATGATCGGGGGTTATGATCGGGGGTTATGATCGGGGGTTATGATCGGGGGTTATGATCGGGGGTTATGATCGGGGGTTATGATCGGGGGTTATGATCGGGGGTTATGATCAGCGGTTATGATCGGGGGTTATGATCGGGGGTTATGATCAGCGGTTATGATCAGCGGTTATGATCGGGGGTTATGATCAGCGGTTATGATCGGGGGTTATGATCAGCGGTTATGATCAGCGGTTATGATCGGGGGTTATGATCGTGGGGTTATGATCGGGGGTTATGATCGGGGGTTATGATCAGCGGTTATGATCGGGGGTTATGATCGGGGGTTATGATCAGGGGTTATGATCGGGGGTTATGATCAGGGGTTATGATCAGGGGTTATGATCGGGGGTTATGATCAGGGGTTATGATCAGGGGTTATGATCGGGGGTTATAAAGGTCATTTTGGGGCCTCACACCAGTGTTGATATTGTTAAAGGGAAAATAACATAAATCCATATGAACCGGGCGGTTTAATCCAAGTGTATATGGTGAACCAATGAGGCGTCTTCTCGTGCGTCACACGCTTGAGCTTCCGGTTACCTTATCTGTTCTGCTCTATGTATCAAGCTTTATCTGAGTAAAAAACGATAATAAATGTGTTCATCATGTAAAGTGTATCTTCAAAAGATTTGGATTATATGGATTTGATTCATTTTACCATCTCTTTATGAATGTTTTGAAGCGTAAGAGTTTTGGGTGAATAGAGTTTCAATGGAGGGACAGAAATCTCTCCGATTTCATCAAAAATATCTTCATTTGTGTTTTAAAGATGAACTAAAAGTGGTATGGTTTTGGATATTTACAGGAGAACTGCCCCTTTAACTAAAACTGAAATTATTCTAAATTAAAGCTAAATAGAAATAGTATTTTATTTATTTATTTTTACAATAAAATTACAAAATCACTAAAAATCAATCTTAAGTTAAAATGAAAAATGAAAAAATAAAAGCTAATCCAAAATATTAATAAATGCCATAACAGTAAATGAATACTACTAAAATAACACAGCTTTGGGTTGACATCAATACAAAGGCCATTTTTACAACCTAAACGATTCACTTTAATGTGATACATTTTTTTAAAATCCTTTAATACTTCTCCTAATGTAACATAGGCGGGAAAAACAAACATTTAAAGAATTTTGCATCCGAATTTTGCATTTCATGTGGAAATGTGTTAGCCAATCATAACTGGGGTCACCATTTCAAAAGACAGTTTATTTCACTGTAAGGGACAAAGCGACTGAAGTTATTACCTGATTTTGATGCAAGAAACAAGAGAATTTGACATAAAAAAAAGAGCAGAATATGGTGTAGTGATCTTGACCTCAAGGTCAATATGAGAATGATATCTTACCTATATTAGGATGATTTAAGACCTTCATAATCCTCACTTCACGAAAGAGCTGTGGGAACACACAGAGACATCAGATGAGATGCAGATCCTGCAGTTTCACTTTAAACATACAGTACTGGTCAAATAGCAAAATGTCAGTCTCAGCTAGTGACCTTCAGCATTATTAACTCAGAGTACGTCCCTGTTTTTGGCTCATTTTTAGGCAGACATGAGCCGTTCAGTGACCGGATCACGGACTCAATGACTCTTCAATCGGATCAGGGCGATCTGCGAGCCGATTCAACAGGTTCACTGGGAAGAATCAGCTCGTTCACGAATCTATCGTGTCTCAGAGTGATTTCTTTATCTCGAAATAAAAAATAAAAGATGTTTTTATGAAATATAGTGGAGTAAAAAAGTGTAATATTATGCTTTGGAATGAAGTGAAGTAAAAATTTCCCTAAAAAAAAGTGCAGATACCGATACGTCAGTACAGTGACATAGTAAAATCCTTCCTTACTGTCCACCACTGCAAAACTGGCAAGAGCTGTCAGTTATAAAAACTTTTCTCGTTTTTAAAATCAAATTTAAGGCTTTTTAATGAATAATGTATAAGCAAGGGATGGCAATACTAAACCATAAAATGACTATAAAAATAACTTTACAGTTCACAAACAGATCTGGACAAAAACAAAGTTTTATAAAATGATAAACCTCACATTTCAACTTTTAAACCATTTTTTAAGAAAAGGCATTACTCAAAATTATTAATGATTGCATTTTTATCATTTTTACACCATGTTTTTATTTTCAAACATGACTTGGAAGTTGATGCGTAACCATCAGGATTACCTTTATTACGTCCCCAAATTAAAGACCTCTTACAATGATATCAGGGAATTTTCTTATACCATAGTCCTTTTAAGGCCTTAAATTTGATAAAACTATATGTTATACATTTTAAGACTTTTTAAGCCCTATAAACAACAAGCTATAAAGTTGGACAAGAAACACAGTAGCGTTTCGAGGTCCCAGGAAGCTCCAGTGAGCACTTCAGGAGAAGCCGGGGTTTGCGAGGTTCATGGCACTAATTCAGAAACATGTGCGAGACTTTTTTGAAGCACTTAGTAGCAAGTAAATCAAATATTCATGAGCACGTCATCTTTTATGGAAATATCTGTTTTCATATTTACCCAGCTGTAAACATGGCATTCAAAACACGAACTGGTAGGTTGCTTGGCGTGTCGGTTACGAGTCTCTTCGTGTAAGTGTGTGTGTCTCTCGGACAGAATAAACCAGTCAAAAGCCTATGCGCAAAACTACTGGAGAAACACTGGATCCTAAACACTACTCCCGGTTTCTGCTACCTTCTCCTACCAAAAGCTGCCGTACACACAAAAACACTCTTGAAGACAGGCGCTCTTTAAATAGTAGCAACAACAGGAGTGTGTTTTCTGTGAATGAAGGACACGTGATATGACGGATTCACCAAAATATCGCCTGCACACATACAAAAAAAACATTTATATGATACGAAGGCAAATGAATATATGATTAAACCAAACCAAATCATTCTGATGACGTTTCAGAAACACCAAACCAACATTAGAGATGCTGCGATGCCATTGGTCCGCTGGTTAGCCCAGTTATCCAATCAGATTATCGGTCGAGGTTTTTGTTGCGGATTGAGGAATTTACACTCACCTAAAGGATTATTAGGAACACCATACTAATACTGTGTTTGACCCCCTTTCGCCTTCAGAACTGCCTTAATTCTACGTGGCATTGATTCAACAAGGTGCTGAAAGCATTCTTTAGAAATGTTGGCCCGTATTGATAGGATAGCATCTTGCAGTTGATGGAGATTTGTGGGATGCACATCCAGGGCACGAAGCTCCCGTTCCACCACATCCCAAAGATGCTCTATTGGGTTGAGATCTGGTGACTGTGGGGGCCATTTTAGTACAGTGAACTCATTGTCATGTTCAAGAAACCAATTTGAAATGATTTGAGCTTTGTGACATGGTGCATTATCCTGCTGGAAGTAGCCATCAGAGGATGGGTACATGGTGGCCATAAAGGGATGGACATGGTCAGAAACAATGCTCAGGTAGGCCGTGGCATTTAAACGATGCCCAATTGGCACTAAGGGGCCTAAAGTGTGCCAAGAAAACATCCCCCACACCATTACACCACCACCACCAGCCTGCACAGTGGTAACAAGGCATGATGGATCCATGTTCTCATTCTGTTTACGCCAAATTCTGACTCTAACATCTGAATGTCTCAACAGAAATCGAGACTCATCAGACCAGGCAACATTTTTCCAGTCTTCAACTGTCCAATTTTGGTGAGCTCTTGCAAATTGTAGCCTCTTTTTCCTATTTGTAGTGGAGATGAGTGGTACCCGGTGGGGTCTTCTGCTGTTGTAGCCCATCCGCCTCAAGGTTGTGCGTGTTGTGGCTTCACAAATGCTTTGCTGCATACCTCGGTTGTAACGAGTGGTTATTTCAGTCAAAGTTGCTCTTCTATCAGCTTGAATCAGTCGGCCCATTCTCCTCTGACCTCTAGCATCAACAAGGCATTTTCGCCCACAGGACTGCCGCATACTGGATGTTTTTCCCTTTTCACACCATTCTTTGTAAACCCTAGAAATGGTTGTGCGTGAAAATCCCAGTAACTGAGCAGATTGTGAAATACTCAGACCGGCCCGTCTGGCACCAACAACCATGCCACGCTCAAAATTGCTTAAATCACCTTTCTTTCCCATTCTGACATTCAGTTTGGAGTTCAGGAGATTGTCTTGACCAGGACCACACCCCTAAATGCATTGAAGCAACTGCCATGTGATTGGTTGATTAGATAATTGCATTAATGAGAAATTGAACAGGTGTTCCTAATAATCCTTTAGGTGAGTGTATTTTGTAAATGTGTTTCCATCATAGTTTGTG